AGCTCTTGAGTTTGTTTCTATGGTAACCATAGCAACAGTTTACTTTTTATGCTTCCAGATGGTTTCTCTGTATATATTTTCATATACAAACGGGTATTTGAACCCTTATACACATAAGCAAGATTGCAACGTCTCTTTATAGTCTGAAGATCTTTTCACATTTTTCCATCAAAATATGGGCTTGAATACTCACAGGATACAGTAACAGCTCTGTGACATGAACACTATGTCCATTTTGGGGGAGAAAGAGAAAATCAAAAGAGCTCTTGGGAGAATAGAGAACCCCTAAAAAGGCTGTCAAGTATGCAAGAGCAACACCCATGGGGACCCATGTGAGACATGGCTATCAATTTTGTCTACCAGGTTGATTTGATTGGGGTGATGTGCAACATAGGGTCTGTTGTCTTAGCCATCTAGAGCACTGTTGCATGTCCTTCCTAAAATGAATCAGAAATGTCCTTCCTAAAATGAATCAGTTGGCTTGCTTTTCTCAGATAGTATGCTGTCTCCAAAGATCTTTGTAAGTAATCATATTAAAAAAAAAAAGTCACCCAGACCTTCTGAGAAAATGATTTCCAGTTCTCGCCTTGAACATGCTGGGATCCCATATGGGTGCCAGTTCTAATCTCGGCACCTCCACTTCCCATCCAGATCCCTGCTTGTGACCTGGAAAAGCAGTTGAGGACAGCCCAATGCTATGGGATCCTGAAGTCACATGGGAGACCTGGAGGAAGGTCCTGGATCCTGGCTTCACACCAGCTCAGCTCCAGCCTTTGCAGCCAATTGGGGAGTGAATCATCAGATGGAAGATCTTCCTCTCTGTCTCTCCTCCTCTCTGCATATCTGACTTTGCAATAAAAATAAATAAATCTTAAAAAAGAAATCAGTAAACATTTACTATCATGGATTGTATACATTCTGAGTAGATTTTGACCATTTTTGAATTATGCCCAATATCCATTAAAACTCAGACCCAGCCAATAACTCATTGCCTAATCTTCACCTTGCAAGCACCAGGATCCCATATGGACAACAATTCACACCCTAGTTGCTTCACTCCCAACCAATTGCGTGCTTGTGGCCTGGGAAAGCAGTGGAGAATGACCCAAAATCTGTGACCCTGTACCCATTTGAGGGACCCAGCAGAAGCTCCTTGCTTCTGGCTTTGGATTGGCTCAGCTCCAGATGTTGTGACCATTTGGGGAGCGAATCAGTAGATGGTGGATCTTTCTGTCTCTCTGTGTGTCAAAATCCATCTTTTAAATAAAAATCATTTTTTAAAGTCCTGGGCTGTCTCCTGGGCCCAGGTCACCTTGAATAGACCTTAGACCTTAGACCTCCTACCACACTTTTTACACAGCTAGTTTGTCTCCTCTGACACTTTTTTTCCATAAGGATGCTCAGTCCTACCAACCACCATCATTGAATGGCATATCCATTTCTTTCAACCTGAAATCTCACTTGTTCCTTAAACCGTATTTCCATATATTTATATGGCTGGCCTAGAATCTGTATTTCTTTTTTTTTTTTAAGATTTATTTTATTTTTATTGGAAAGGCAGATATACAGAGAGGAGAAACGGAGAGGAAGATCTTCCGTCCGATGATTCACTCCCCAAGTGAGCGCAATGTGTCAATGCTATGCCAATCCGAAGCCAGGAGCTTCTTCCAGGTTAAGGTCCTCGTCTTGCACGCCCGGGATCCCATATGGGCGCCAGTTCTAATCCCAGCAGTCCCACTTCCCTTCCAGCTCCCTGCCTGTGGCCCGGGAAAGCAGTCAAGGACGGCCCAAAGCTTTGGGACCCTGCCCCTTTTCCACTATTTTAGACTCATTCCCCAACACCATTCTTACCTCAAAGTAACTAAAATGCTAGAGAACAAGCCTCAAAATTGGTGGGAGGAATTGCAATGCAACCTCAAAACAGGGTCGGCTCATTAAATGTGCAGAAACCAAGTGGTCAAAGAAATGCAAAGTGCAGAGTAAGGAACCTAGGAAATGTGAATGCTAAGAGTCTCACATTGCAAAATTAAAGCAGTTAAGGCATGCTAAGTAATACTGTATTTATGGATATTTTATTACATTCATTACTGCTATCTTAGTGTTATCAATTATACAAGCTAATCTAAACCTTAATGTGTGTTGGGATACTGATGCGTAGGGATGATTTGGTCATGTAGGATTCATAGAATCCACAAATCTAGGCAACCCTACATATACCATGGATGTAATGTACACAGATGAGCTGCATGTGTTCCCCGGAACTGAGTAGTGTGGTGACACTAATGTGATTTGTAGGGTTACTTTCAGTTTTAAAGATATGCGATTCAATCCTATTTCCCTAACAAACATAGCTCAGTGTAATTTCACACTATGAATCGAGAGCAAACTTTTTGTTTTAAAGCCAAGAGACTTACAGATATACATTCCTGAAGATTTCCATTATGCTCATTATGAGTATAGTTTAGGCAGGTGATGCACATTCCCACTTGGAATATTTGGTGAATGCAGTCAGTCCTGCATGTCTGCAGATTCTGCACCTGCAGATTCATGACCCACGGACCTGAAATCTCAAAGGGGACAGAGATTTGATCCATTAGGTAGGACAACTGTGTCCCATACCAGAGTGTCCAGGCTCCATTTCCAGCTTAGGCTCCCAATTTCAGCTTCCTGCCAATGTGGCCCCTAGGAGGCAGCAGTTAGTGGTTGAATAGTTGGACTTGGTCACCAATATGAGAGACCAGAATTGTATTCTTAGCTTCTTATCGTGGTCAAGCCCTGGTTATTGTGCGTACAGGAGAGTGAAGCAGAGGATGGGAGCTCTCTCTGTAGCTGAGTCTCTCAATCTGTCTTCTGAATTCAAAGGAGGTTAAAAAAAAATTGTATTTGTGTTGGATGAATGACTTTTTTTTCTTGCCAGCATTCCTTAGATAACACAGTATAATATTACTTGCATATCATCTTCAATGTATTAGACCTGATAAATGATCCAGAGAGGATTTGGGGGACATGGGAGGACAGCATGGGTAATAGGGAAATAGAGCACTACTTTGCATAAGGCATTGAGCATCGGTGGATTTTGATGTCCAGGGCATAGGAAAGAAGGTGCTATCAGAAGAGGCAGGTGAGTGCAGGCTGAAGCCAGCATACTTGTGCACGTGGTGTCCCACTGACTCTTAGATATCTGTGATTGCAGATTAAGCTCTTCCAGTTCTACACACTGCACTCATGTACGTAATGACCTGCACTGACTGTCAAGATCCTATAACCGACCCAGTCACTCTCCCTCACTGTGCTGCTCTCCACACTGCATTCCTGGACCAGAAGTATCCCACTGAGCTTGCAAAAAGGGTGAAAATCTTATACATCGTGCTGTCCTGTGTGGCAGCCATGTGCCACACATGGGAGACATGGCACGTGTGAAACAGAGCAAGTGTGAAGGCAAAAGTAAGCCTTTATGTTGTATTAATTTGTTTTCACACAGCCACACAGCTCTGTGGCTACTGCCCTGGACAGGGCAGGCGAAAGCACTTCCAGGATGGGGTCAGGAGATGGGATGTCTCTAGCAAGACAGATGGAGAGACACCGGTTTTCAGGAAGTGTTCTGGGTTTTTTCACGGTTCTCTAACTCCCAAAATGGCTCAAAGGAATGAAAACTTTCCACTCATTCTTATTTGCTTTGTGGTGCGCTCCTCAATTATTGGTTGGACAGTAGAAAGTGGAGTGGACATAGTACAGTGGAGCCTGTACTATGTCTTCATCTTTTCTCATCTGAAAACTCTAGATTTTGTCTTTCACAAATTAATAAAAATGAAACACTACAAATTATAGCATTGATTTAAAGATGAAAAGCACATATTCTATCTCTACATCTCTTTGATGACATCTTTGGTTCTGGGCCAAAAGAGGGGCAATTTTTTTAAATATTGATTACATTTCGTTTTGTTACATAGTTTTATAGGCTCTGGGATTTCAATAATCCCTTCCCGGGCCCTACCCACTTGGTGGATTCCTCCACCTAGTTGCAATATTACAGTTCAAATCCAGTCAAGATTCTTTCATTGTAGCCATATATGAAGCATGGAGTCCTGCATCATATTGTCCAGATCAATTCAACAGTTTCTTGGGGAAACCATCTCTGGTCTGAATGCAGAGCTGGCAGAACATCGTCCCAACCACTTAAAAGCCACAACATAACACCAACAACAATTTACAACATTATGGAGTTAATTGACATGGTATTGAGTAACCAATATGTTAAAAAATGCAGGTTCTTAACCACATCCTGTGACTCCTTCATTGATTTCAATTTTAGTTTATATACAGACAGCTTCTATACACCTTAAAATGGCTGTAAGGCACTATTCAGCTGTCTCGTGTCTATTATCATTGTAGTACTTAGCAGTTTATAGTGTTGAAGCATTATTTTTACTGAACTTGGCAGATTTTAGGATAGTCTAAACTGGCTTATAACTCTAACAAGGCATATGTCAATAGCTGAGCTGCAGAACAGTTTTAGGAGGGGTGTGCAGAGAAATCTCCAATGCCTTAGTAGGGAGTAACTAATCTTTGTGTCCTACCTCGTAAGGTATTTGTGGGTCCAGCTGACTGTTTCCTGTCTGTTGTAAGCTTTCCTTGTTGTTCTCTGCCTATTGACAGGGGCAATTTTATGATCTGTTGGTTAAAGGTAAACTTCCACTGGCCATTCCTCCATCTCCTGGGAAGGAGCCCAGCTGGCCTGACCAGATAAGTTACCTGGACCTGGTTACCTGGCAAAAGAGATCTAAGAAGCCTTCTGGGACACGCAGACTTAAGTTCTGGCCTAAACAGATTCCTCACATTGTGTTTTCCGGGTCAGCACTGGGAACATGACAGGGGTGCCATCTCTGTGACCCCCAAAGCCCTTCTGAACTCTCCTCCGCCTCCACATCAAAGTGTTCCCTCACTGCACTCTGGAGTCTGGTGAGTCCTTTAAATACCCCAACTTGTTCGGTCTTTTATTTAGATAAACAATATCTTCTATGATTAAACTACCACTGGATTTCTGCAAGTCAGATTACTGGAATCACTGAGATTGATTTTAAAAGTAAGTGAAAACAGTTTGTTTCGCATAGTTCAAATTTTCATTGATTTGGAGCTGTTGTGCAAACTCTGGTTTATCACATTTAGTTTAAAAGACATGGGGGAGGGGCCCGGCACGGTGGCACAAGTGGTTAAGGTCCTCGCCTTGCATGCCCGGGATCCCATATGGGCACCGGTTCTATCCCGGCAGCCCCGCTTCCCTTCCAGCTCCCTGCCTGTGGCCCGGGAAAGCAGCCGAGGACAGCCCAAAGCTTTGGGACCCTGCACCTGCGTGGGAGACCCGGAAGAAGCTCCTGGCTTTGGATCGGCATAGCATCGGCCGTAGCGCTCACCTGGGGAGTGAATCATGGGACGGAAGATTTTCCTCTCTGTCTCTCCTCTCTGTATATCTGCCTTTCCAATAAAAAAATAATAAAAATAAATCTTAAAAAAAAAAAGAGATGGGGGAGGGAAATCTGATAAAGTGAGGACTGCCCCTCCTAGATGAATTATTTGTAACATATATTAATATAAATACATTTCAACAATTAAATATGTACTTTTGAGACTATAAGAAATATACACATGTCCAAATGAAATGACAATTGACTGTTAAAATTTCTTCCAATATTCTTATTAATGCAAAATAACAAAAAGACTCATGGGCTAAGTGAAAGGTCCTAGAAATGCATTATTATCATTACTGCGTTTCCTTCAGTTATTACTATCCTTAGCTTGAGTACCTTGAACCCTGAAATTCTCTTTTCCTACTTGAAGAAGAAAACTTTCATGAATGCTTAATTTGTTTAGGCAGTTAATCTACATTTTGAACAGACCTGTGGATATTCCCTTTGTAAATCATGAATTAATATCTGGTCTGAGTTGACCAAATACCCGTCTCTGGGCCTGCAGGTAGTACGACATTGATTTTCGGTGGTAGTGTGAAAGGTGTTGACTAAACATAAATGATGTTATGTAATCTTGGGATTGTGAATTGTTTGAGAACAGCAGAATCAGTCTTTCAGTAATGTTTTTCTAATGAAGGAGTTATTTTATTTCTTTGAAAATCACAGCTGCAGCTGTAGAAGGAGACAGACTGAATTAGCCTCAGTCCAGGGTTCACCCCATATGCCTGAGTCCAGGCAAATGCCAGGAGCCACAATCTCTTCCATATCCGTGGCAGGGACTCGGGCACTTGAGCCATCTTCTAATGCCTCCACAGGCATGTTAGCAGGGAGCTGGGTATGTGGAGCAGCCAGCATTTGAACTAGCACTCATTTGGGATGTTGGCTTCTTAGATGGTCTTGCCCCTGGTTTTGGTGGAGTATAGTGGGGCTAAGAATGGTCGCATGTTGAAATCAGCCTAAGTTATATGCTTATGCTGTTACTCTTACCTGGAAAATGCTGTGGGTTTTCTCATACAAAGTTCACACATCAAGAACAGTTCTAACACCTGACAACAAGGCATGTCCAGAATGATCCATTTGTAGAAGGAAGCAGAGGTCTCCTTACTCTCCAAAACAATTTTCTTTCCCTGCTATTATTATTTTGTTTGATAATTGTTTTCCTTTTTTAAAAATATTTACATATTTTTTCATTTGAAAGGCAGATTTACACAGAGAAGGAGAGAAAGATCTTCCATCCGCTGTTTCACTCTCCAGGTGGCCACAATGGCTAGAACTGAGCCATTCTGAAGGCAGGAGCCAGGAGCTTCTTCTGGGTCTCCCATGCAAGTGCAGGGTTTCAAGGCTTTGGGCCATCCTCTTCCACTTCCCCAGCCAAAAACAGGGAGCTGGATAGGAAGTGAAGCAGCTGGAGCACAAGCCAGTGGCAATATGAGATTCTGGCACATGGAAGGCAAGGATTTAGCCATGGAGCCATCATGTTGGGCCTGAAAACATCTCAAAAACCTCCTGAAATATCATAGTTCATGTTTGCCCTACAACAAGCTGATAGGACTAAATATTTCTGATGTTACTATTAAATAGATATAAGGGGAATTTGCAAATTTCCACTGAAGACCTGAAATCTGGAGATTTTAATTTTCTGGAAGAGGCTTACTTTGACATTAAATCAATATGGACTTTATCAGGCACTATTAGCAGTTAACATCGTGGTAAAACTTAAAGGTGGTAATTTCAGATTCACATGTTTAATTGAAGAGAAATACACCATTTTCTCTGCATTATTGAACTTCCGGTTGACTTACAAAGCTCAAACTGAGGCTTCTTTACAATCTTCAGTAACAATCCATAAAAGTTATAGTTGATTCAACTGAAAGGAGCCTCTTCGCATAAATTAGAGCTTGTGCTCACATCTCTGGGACAAGAATCAATTTCAGATAACTCAGTCCATCCTATAAGCTTAAAGTCATTATCTAAGGTGTTGTGTAAACACCCAATCTGTGATTTCTTCTTGGTCACCTGAGAGTAAGGTAATGCAAGCACAAATAATCCCTGGTGCATATATGTAAATACCAGGGGAGATAGAGTTGGATATTTAAATACACAGTCCAATTTTGTCTATTTTGGGCAGAAAGTGAAGCCTACGAAAAGAATAATAGCGGCTCTTAACATTTCCAATGGCAGTTGGCCTAGTTTCTATGTCAAAATATCAGAGAACTTGCACGCTATTAAAATGATTTTGGGGCCCAGCACGACAGCCCAGTGGCTAAAGTTCTTACCTTGAATGCGCCAGGATCCCATATGGGCGCTGGTTGTAATCCTGGCAGCTCCACTTCCCATTCAGCTCCCTGCTTGTGGCTTGGGAAAGCAGTAGAGGATGGTCCAAAGCCTACACCCACATGGCAGACCCAGAGGAACCTCCTGGCTTCATCTCCAATCACTTGGAGAGTGAACCAGCAGATGGAAGATATTTCTATCTCTTCTATCTGTAGACCTTACTTCCAATAAAAAAAAAACAGAGGTTGAGATTAATTCAGATTTTATTTTTGTAAAGTCAAGATGCTAATTGTAACCTCCATAGTAACCATAGTACTGGGAAGGTAATTCCACTTGTTAAAGTCATGGCCTCCAATGCCACAGTACAGTAGTCTTCCCTTATTTCTAGTTTTGCTCTTTGTGGTTCTCTACCCACAGGCAACTATAATAAAATATTAATATAAATTTTCAGAAAAAAATTCATAATTTTAAATGATAAATCATTCTGAGTAATTAAAATATCTTCCTATATATGTGTCAAGTGACTTTTCTTCCTCATTTTTTAGACATCTCAGTTTTCATATTTACTTTTAATATCCAGCGATGGTGTTCAAGTTACCCTTGTTTTGCTTAGTAGGCACTACAGTGGAAGAGTAACGATGCTGGCAATCCAGACATGCCAAAAGGAGGATATCATAAAGTTCTTCATTTAAGTGAAAGGAGGAAGACAGATGATCTGCAGGTTGGGGAAACCAGCCATGGTCATATTTGTTCCTGTAGTCTAGTGGTTCCCAAACTTCACTGGAGATATAGTTTTGAGACCTTGTTCCACTGCTGCTGACTCTGGATTACCGAAGAAATCCTGATAATCTATTCTGGTACCTGTGACTCAAATCAAGCTGCTAGAATTTCAAAGACTATGAACTCTTTTGTACTTGAAGAGAATTTAATCTAGGTCCTATATTTGCCCACACTGATAGAGACCAGATAGGTATGTTCCTTGGTTTTCAATTTTCTCTTTGTAGAGAAGTAAGGATAAACTCTCAATGGGTTATGTTATTTATTCACCTCTGATGAAGTTTAAGGAACAGCCACACACAGTATTTCATGGACAATGGTGGAAAAACACAGGTTGAGAAATAGATCTGTCAAATCTCTCCTTCCTCCTTCTGCTCCTCCCTCTTCCCCTCCTCTTCTGTTAAATATGCCCTAGGACACCCTCCCAGGACTGCTCTCCGTCTGCTGTTCAGATCCATCCTAGAGAGTGGAACGTTCGCGCTCTGCCTTCAAGATGCATCTCAGTGCAGCAGATCACCGCCTCCCTCTCAGTGATGGAAACAGCATTCCCATCATTGGGCTTGGCACCTTCTCAGAACCTCAGGCGGTAAGCTTCTCTCACTCTCTGTGTTCTGTGTGTGTGGTTAGAATGTGTCTAGAATCTGTAATCTGTAATCCATTTTACATGGATTTTTAAATAAACTCTGTAATAGTGGAAGCAACCTCCAAAGATTACTGTGTGTGAGCATTGAGTCAAAGGTTATATTAAATCAGATCAAGATTAAAACATAGTTAGAAAGAAAATGAAATGTTTCTGTTCCTTTCACTGAAATTTGACTGAATGTTATTGACTAGAGTGATCTAAGGCACATGGCAATCCTGAGTTTATGACTGAGTTCATAAGCACTGGTAGGAATAGACATTACAAGTGTGAATATACTGTTTCTAGAACACTATATTCACTAACTTTGCTAATTTTGCTGTGTCATTTTTAAAGTTCCCCAGCCTGCAACCATATAAATAACTACTCTTAAAAGTTCTATCAAGCTCCCCAAAATATACTCTCTATTGCTTTGGCTTGATAAATATGCAGTAGCCTTAGAAGTAGCCTGTCTAATTTGCCCATAAATTAAGGTAGCCAGATTTAACATTTTAAAGTTCAAGATAATCAGTTAAGTTTGAATTTCAGATCAACAACGAATTATTTTCAACAAATTATTTTTAATATAATCCTATCCCATTTAATATTTGAGATCTATATATTATTTTTGCTATAGCAAAATAATTCTTGCATATCTGAAATGCTAATTTTTGTGACATCTGCTTTTCTCTTCAAAAGTACTCTAAACTTTTATGTCCATAACTATCCACATAGAATGTTCTCGGAGAACTCCTTAGGTTAACTTTTGCCACCTCATTTTGCAGCTTAGCTACTACCATATGGCCTCTATTGGTGAAAAAATATCAACCTTCCCAATTTATCAGTAAGCCCAGTTCTGCAATGGTATGTCCAGCAATCTCTCTTGGTCCGCTGAGGGCAGCTGTAACTGGCTCAATGATTTTGGTGTTTCTGTCATTGAAATATCTCTATCTCTTTGCTAAAATGTGTGTCAACTGGACCCTGCTACAAAACAGACTATTGCTACATTTTCTTAGTTTACCTGGTAGATTCATTCTAGCCTGTCCTCTTCCCTTGGGGTTTTGTCCAGTTTTTGGCCAGGTTCCATGCCATATGTGAAAGCCTACTTCATTTAGGGTAGGTCATCACTTTTTACAAGTCATTGAGAGCTTTGACAGTACTGTTTGTCTTGCTTTTTAAAGTGTGAGGTTATGTTTCAGAGGAAAGGATTCTCGTATTAAGACAAAAAAAAAAAAAAAGCTCTTTTCGTCAAAAAATATTCAGCCCCTTCCTGACTTGCTGATGCAAGAACCTCCAAGACATATTCCTGTTTGCACTCCCCATCTCCTAAGGTACTGGTTGTGTAATTCCACCATTCTTTCAGTATGACATCTTCTTTATTCTCTTTGCTGTCCTTTTCACAATTCCTTTTCCTTGCCAAGATATATTGAGACTTACCTGGTGGCTGGGACAAGATGTGCAAGTAGATGCTGTGTAGAACACATGTTGATGTTATATGCAGGGGAGAGTCTGCCATGTTCTGTTCATAGAAAGTAGGAAATGCCAGCCTTTAACAGGGAGGAGAGACCACTGAAGTAGTATTGTGTCATTTCTTCTGGTCTATTTCCCATTCACTAAAGTTTCCGTGTGTGGTATGCTTCCAAAATGCTCATTTCATTTTAGATTTTTGGCTCTCTGTTTCCTGTGGGGTTATAAAGTAATTAGAGATGCATTCTAAACTTCTTAATTTTTTCACGATAGATCAGTAGCTGTGGGTCATAGATCTCATGTTTGATGTGATCTGCCAAGCATTTTTTAAAATACATTTTATTTTTTTTATAAAGATTACATGGCAGATCTGGGTGGGAAGGATTGAGGTTTACGGAAAATTGGGTGTACTCATTGCTTCCAAATCTTATGTTGTATTTGGGGCAAGGGGAGAGACAAAGGGGGAACCACTCATCACCTTCCACATGTCCAAGTGCCCAGGAATGAGGAGCCGCCACTTCACATCAACCCAGGGTCTCAATGTGTACATATTTCCAGGGTTCTGTCCAAGTGGTTTGGATAGTTCTGAAATGCTGCCAATTTCACCAATCCAAGGGTGATGCCACCCTCCCAATGTCTATTGGCAAGCATTTGGTTAGAACACTGAAAAACAGAAGCAGGCAGATGTATTTCTCAACATTTATTACATAATGCCAGGACAATTTCTAACTATGAAGTTAAAAATCAGCAGATTAATCCATTACCAACCATACTCTAAAAGACGATTTGAAAATTGTATTTGATGAGATTAAACAGGTGGCTTGGTGGATATCATTATTAGGCCCTTCTTATCTCACTAAAAGATGATAAGTAAATTAGACACAGTTGTGTTTCTGTAAATATAATCATAACTGAAGCATTATGGAATACGTGGAATCTAAAAACTGAAGTCTAAGTCTGCTTTGTGCTGCTGTAACACAAAGCCTTGGACTCCGAGTGATGTTTGTCCAGAGATTCAACAAATTTTGAACATACTCAGAAAAAAAATCAGGAGCAGGCATTTAGTCTAGCAATTAATGCACCATTTCCCACCTTATGGCACCTGGGTTCAATTCCCCACCTGGTTCCTGATTCCAGCTTCCTGCTGATACAGACTTAGGAGCCAGTGGTGATCGCTCAAGGGCTTGTGTCCCTGCTATCCAACCGAAAAGCCTGGGCTGAGTGTCTGATTCTTGTTTCCATTCTGGTCCAGTCCTTGCTATTGTGAGCATTTAGAGAATGAAACAGTGGATGGATGAAGTTGTTTGGTTTTTATTTTTTTCCTTTTCACGTTCTTCCTTTTTAAAAAATAAATTAATTAATGTTAAAAATTGAGTCTGCAATGCACAAAAACAGATTTTGTTTTCTTGTTATTCCCGAAATAACAACTGCTTAACAGCATTTATGTTGTGAGAGGCATTACAAGTACTCTAGATAAAAATTTACAGTATTCATGATGCAATAGGTTATATGCAAATTCTATGCCATTTTATGTAAAGGTTGTGTGAATTGCCAATAATGGACACACATGGCGTCCTGATTAGTAGTGACCAATCTTCAGAAAAGACTCATTTCTCCCCTGACCCCCCAATCTCACCCTCCTTGTCACTTCAGACCTATAAGGGACTCTGTGCAACATCAGTGAAGATTGCCATTGACGCAGGGTACCGACACTTTGATGGGGCCTACGTCTACAAAAATGAGCACGAAGTGGGCGAAGCCCTCAGGGAGAAGATTGCTGAAGGAAAAGTGCGGCGGGAGGACGTGTTCTACTGTGGCAAGGTGAGCTCTTGCCTTCCCTGTCTCCTCGTGTGGATGGTGGGTCCTGTGCCACCTTTGTATGGTAGAGAATCTTGAACATTCTCAAAGGAGGGATTTGAGTCTTTACAGATTTTTGTGTTTGGGGGTCTTAGAAGCAATCCCACATAATTAGTAAGGAACAGTGACATTATGTATTTAGTAATAATAACCTTTTTTTGTTTAAGGTGAATTTAAGATGACACCAAAATCATACAAAATAGAATTTTCAACATTACTGTATTATCAGATTATGGGGGAAGTGATAGCTATCTTAATATTTTGAGAAGATAATACAGTCAACTTTTGCAGTCAGTGGAGTTTGTTTAATAAAACCAAACATAAAGACCAGTTAATAAGTCCACAAATTCTAGGGGCCAAAATTATGGCGCAACCTATTAAGCTGGTGACTGAAGTGCCAGCATCCTATGTAACCACTGGCTTGAGGACAACTGTACTTCTAATCCATCTCTCTTCTAATGCATCTAAGCAAGCAACAGAAGATGTCCCAAGTGCTAGGGACACTGCACCCATGTGGGAGACCCAGATGTAGTTCTGGGCTCATGGCTTCAGCCTGCCCAGGCCCTGGATGCTGTGGCTTTGTGAGGCAATGAACCAGTGGAAAAAAGATCTTTCTGTACTTCTCTTTCTCTTTCTCTCTCTGTGTGTGACAGTGGTCTCACATTTTCTCTGTAACTCTGTCTTCCAAATAAGTGAATACATGTCTTTAAAAAAGTTTACAAATCTAAGATCCAGTTATGTGAGCATCCTGGGCAAGCACACCACGTAAGCCTCTGGTTTGACGTCTTACAGTCATTTCTCCATTTGGCAGGTGCTAAAGTTAGTGTCTAAGAAAACAGTAATTAAAGCAATCTGCAAAATCCTTCTTTTTCTAATTTGAGAGACAGAATAAGAGAGAGAGAGAGAGAATGAACTTCCGAGGGTCTACAATGATGCTGGAGTGAGGTACAGTTAAGAATTTGACCCAGGCACACGGATGTGGCACAGGAGGCACTTAACAATTAATTAATTAAGCCCAATATAATCTAAAACCCTTACATTTCCTCAGAAAGTATAATTGTCTTACATCCTTATGTTTTCTGTGTATAATTCAGTAATGTGCTTCACAGCCTAAAGCACAGGCAGGCACAGCAGGACTGTGCCAGGTTACATAAACAGAGTGCGTGGCTGAGTCCAAGTGAGAGGTAGTTGTTATGGTCCCAGAGCAGCGCTGGCTTTCACTGCAGCTCAGCTCGTGCCTGAGAGGCAGTGTCTGGCAGTGGGTAAGTACACTGACTCTAGTGCTAGACCACCAGCCCAGCATTCCGGGTCTGTCAATAGGAGCTATTAGTAGTTTAGAGTTTCTGAACCTTGGTTTTGGTTTCTGTAAAGGAGGGATGATAAGGTAAGATTATTATGAATTAAGATGAGCAAAATACTTAATCCATATCTAGCACAAAGCTGATATGCTAGGTGTCTGTTGAATAAACATGATCAAGAAAAGAAATAGAGTCATTAAAATAAACAGCAGGATTTCGCTTAGAAGGAACAGTAAATATAACACCAAGTGTTCCCACAGTAATGACAAAATAAACTTTGCACTGACTTCTCCACATTTAGTTTTCTTTGCATTACCATGGCAAAAAGGATTTGTCTGAGTGTCTCTGGGAACCTATAATTTTGTGTACAGAATTTCCATATGACCAACCACACCTTAATGCCTCTTTATGTACACTTAGAAATTAAGCAAATTCTTGGTGAGAATTGACAGAATTAACATGAAATCTTTTTTTTATATGAAATGCTTCACAAATTTGGGCGTCATGTTTGTACAGGTGCCACACTAATCTCCTCATCATTTCAATTTTAATGTATGTGCTGCCAATGTGAGCACAATTAATCTGAATTCTGATGGATCTAATGGGTACAAAAGAACAAGAAAAGGGATTTAAATACATGCAGTTTAACCTTTCACCAGGTATTGGTACCATCTGTTCCAAGATGAAGGGCTCCTTGAAGCCACATATAACCATATTCTTATTTGCAAATTTGAAATATACATTTTTTCATAGTGATAGGAAGCTGAAGCGGCAGGCCAGGTCTTGATCTGCTGAATGCTTGTTCTCTGGTTTCACAGTGAGGTTAAATGAACACACTATGGGCCAAAGAGGAAATTAACATGGGGAAGGAGAAGACTTTGTCAATGAGGTAGGCACTCTGTGGTCAAGGGTTTTACAAAGGATAAAAAGGCTACATAATTGTAAAAAGAGTGTGAATCTTAGCTAATTCTTCCCCTTTAATTATTTCAGCTGTGGGCCACAAACCTTGACCCAGAGAGGGTGAGGCCAGCCCTGGAGAGGACACTCAAGGTCCTCAAGCTTGATTATGTGGATCTTTACATTGTTGAACTGCCCATGGCCTTCAAGGTGAGTGCAGATCCCTAGAAGCTGGGCTTCTACACCCCCCTGAGTAGGAGCCAATAGTCACAAGTAGGAAGCATGTTTGTTACTGAGAACCATGCAGGCCCGCATGCCGAATATTTTCAATTTTACTTCAATGTTGTTTCTATTAATGTTTGTTTTTCCTTCTATAGCTGGACCTCCCTTTATCAAGCCAGGAAGTGGTCCTTATTATTCCACATTTTAGATATCTAGCATCCAGACACAACCTTCTTCTCAATCATACTCTGATAAAATTGACCATTCTCAATATAATACAAAGTAGTACAGACAACCTCCTTTATATCCTCTCTCAAAGAGTCAGATTTTTGGATCCAGCTCCAAAGCCACATTTCTAGATGATATCTGTTCTTGTAGTTAAAATGCAGTCACTTTTCAGACTTTCTTAAGCTACAAATTCAATATTAATTTAAAAACCAAGAATGTTCCTAATAAGCACAGTTGAAGAGCATATGTCATCTTCAATTTTATTCGTGGAAGGAGAGATTTGGGAATAAAATTGACTGCTTTGCTATAAAATAAATCAGAGTTTGTTGGTCAGCAAGAACAAGGACTCTCTACTACCACAGAGGCCAAAATTGCTTGAGTTAACCACTCTTGCTTTTTGGTATTCTCATAGTTGAAAAAAGGGTTGACTCTCCTCTGTGGTCACCATCCATCTCCGTGGCAGACTTTGGGGAAGATGTCTTTTTACATCCTGCTTCTTGGAGGCATGGGTTTGAAGATTTCACAGTTGCCTTGGTCATTGTTCTGCCTATCTGCCAAGACCACAGCTTAGTGATAGCCATCTTGGTCTCTAATGCAAAATAAAACAATTAGGCAGGGTATTGGTGGCCTGGGATTTTTCCTTTAAATTGATAACTATTGATAACTATTATTTACCTAGTTACCTATTGATAACTATTATTTACCTAGGCCCAATTCCAAAGTACATTCATAGGCAATTGGTTGCTTTGATAGATTCAACACACGATAATTATTTGACACTTCAGTCCATTGCTGTGTTGGGCTATAATTTCTGCCACTTGTTTGAGTCCTAAGAGATGGAGGAATCATGTGACATGTTAAGTGAAGCTATTTTATGTCATACATGTGTGGTGAGGAACAGCAGAAGCCCAGCCTTCATGTAAGCCTGCATCCTCAAGCTCAGGAAAACTGCTCATACATTGAATAAAATCTCACCTGTGTATGTCATCGGCTGCAGATAAGGGATTCCAATAGCAATGCCATAATGTTTATTTGCTCTAGGGTTCATTTGCAGGATTCATCTTTATCTCAAAATGTTACATTTCCAGTATGTTTTGGTGTTATTCTTGAGAACTACAGATAAGAACAGGAGATGAGTCATCCATGGGCTTGCCCAGCACCAGTCTTTGATTACCCACTAAGCCATGTGTATTCTACTTGAAGGTAACCAATTTTCTAACATGGCAAGGCTCAGAACTCGCCCTTTACTTTTTTACATTGCATCACAAAACACAGAGAAACCATTTTAGTAAAGCATTATTTGATAAACCCAGTAGCAATAAACACATTTCTCCTTTTCACAAAATCCAACTGGCAGCTACAAAAGTCAACTAGCTTAGTATTTTTCTAGGAATACACAAAGCTGCAGTCTTGGAGAGCCCATTGTCTGAATGTTAGGACTCTGCAAGGTGTGGAGTGCTATGTTGCTGCATACATAGGAGAACCTGCCACTTTCCAGCTGGAGGTAAAAAGCAGAATGATAGAGAAGGTAAAGGCAGAGACAGGAAGGAAGAGAGAGAGAGAGAGAGAGATGGAGATCTTCAATCTGCTGGGTTACTCTCCAAACAGAAGTAACATCCATTATGGGGCAGTATCAAACCAGGAGCCAGAAGCTGTATTGTGGTTTCTCACATGTGTGGCAGGGGCACAATTATTTGGGCCATCCTCCATGGCTTTCCAGGAACATTAGCAGCAGTGCCAGCTTGGAGCTGAGTAGGCAGACTTGCACTACCACTCTGATATGGTATTCTGACATTGTGAGCAGTAACTTAATCCACTGTGCCTAAGTACAGCTCCCTGAAATAGCTTCATTTTACTAACGGGAATAAAGAAATTGAATTACATACGTGCTTGTTTTACAGCCTGGTGATGAAATCTATCCCAAAGATGAGAATGGTAAATGGTTATATCACAACATAAACCTGTGTGCCACATGGGAGGTAAGTGGGGTGTCTATGTTTTAAAGATTTATTTATTTTTATATGAAATGCTGAGTTAGGAGGAGAGTCACAAAGAGAAAGATCTTCCATCCATTAATTCACTCCCCAAATGTGCGCAACAACCAGAGCTGCGTTAACCCGAAGCTGGGAGACAGCATCCCCCTCAGGGTCTCCCACACAACTGCAGGGGCTCAAAGACCTAGGCCATCCTCTACTGCTGTCCCAGGCCACAAGCAGGGAGCTGCACAGGAAGAGGAGCAGCTGGGTCATTAATCGACACCCAAATGGGACCCCAGCACATGCAAGGTGAGGATTAAGCCACTGAGCCATCTAGACCCAGAAGAAGCTGCTGGTTCCTGCCTTTGGATTGGCTCAGCTTCGGCCACTGTGTGCATCTGAGGAGTGAACCAGCAGATGGGAGATCTTTCTCTCTGTTTCTCCTTCTCTCTGTAAATCTGCGTTTACAAAAACAAATAAGCAAATATTTTATATATATTTATTTGTTATATTATATATTTTATACAGCTGCCAGCTTTAGCTTCTGCTTTGTTTCCCACCACTGAGATCTTAGCAGCCAATGGTAGTGGCTCAAGTAATTGGGTTCCTTCCCTGGAAGAAGAAACTTGGACAGCATGGCAGGGTTTCCCTCCAGCCTCTCACTAGTCCTGGTTTATAAAGGCAGCTAGGGAGTAAGCCAGTGATGGGAATTCACCCATCACAATTTGTTTCTGTGTCTCTCAAATAAGTAAATATGTAGTTATTATTCACACTTGCAAGAACTATATAAATAGGTGACTATATTTTTTCTTGAAATACAGGAAAACATCAGTAAGCTAGAATTAGAATGCTCGACATTTGGCATACTTTTTTACCTACTAAGAAGCCAATCAAAGTCAGAATTAATGTTTTATGTGCATATAAACATATCTGCTTGTATTGTATATTTATAAACACGCTTAGGTAAGAGAAGATGAGACAAAGTATTCTGCATTCAAATAGGAGAGCATATGTGTTTCATACACACTGAAACATTTATAAAAACAGGTGAGTTTTATTACCAAATCAGTATCTATTACAAAAATGGAAGGTAAGATATGATACGCACAACTTTCAAAACTCATTCCGTCATCAGATCCTGCCTCACACACCCTGCCCCCTTTTCCTTCACTGGATGCTTTTGAAACACACAAGGTCTTACTTTTGATGAACCTGATGGCTGTGCAAGCATTACCCTCACTGACTTTGCACTTGACTTGAAAGGTGTATCCCAAGTGGCTGCTTTGTCGCCATGCCAAACACTCACCACAGACACGTAATCTTGCTGCTTGGGAGGCTTCTTTGTTGACCTGTTGTCACCCACAGGCTTTGGAAGCTTGCAAAGATGCTGGCTTGGTGAAATCCCTCGGAGTCTCCAACTTCAACCGCAGGCAGCTGGAGCTCATCCTGAACAAGCCAGGACTCAAGTACAAGCCGGTCAGCAACCAGGTACAACTTCACAGCTTCCGCTGTGGAGGAGGGACCCCAGCACAACGCTGACACAGGCCAGCACACACCAACCTGTGATCGGTCTCAATTTGTGTCGCCAAAGAGGAAGTCTTAAAACATGCAATGCATACCAAAACACCTAAAAGCGTTTTTGAAGACAAAAACAAAGAGAGAAGATGTTACCTCCAAAACGTCAGACATCCTATTGAATGTTTAAACTAGTGCAAAGCCAGTGTAGGGGACTGTGTACAAGCAAATGGAAATTAACCAGCACCTTAGAAATGGCCCCCATGTAATGAAGGCTTAATTAAAGTAACCAACGCTACTTGCAAAGAAATGGTTTCTGGTGAATATCATGAGGAAAATGACTATATGTAGGAAAAATGTAGAACTTTGCTTAAAATTAAACTCAAAATTAATGTTCCTTTGGTCAGAAAGAAAGAGGACAGCAAAAACCAGTTGTAAATACTAGAAAACATCTTTAGTTTTAGGAAGCATTGGCTAGAAAGAAAAACAGGAAAATCACTAAGACAACCTTTTGTTTTCATACAGTTTTTATTCTTCGATATTATTTTTTTAAAGATTTATTAATTTTTATTGGAATGTCAGACTTACGGATAGAAGGAGAGAAAGAATGATCTTCCGTCTGCTGGTTATTTCCCCAAGAGCCACAAGAGCCAGAGCTGAGCCAATCCAAACCAGGGACAGGAGCTTCCTCCGTGTGGGTGCAGGGTCCCAAGGCTTTGGGCCATCCTGCACTGCCAAAATTAGGGAAGCTGAAGGAAAGTGGTTCAGCCAAGACATAAACTAGCACCCATATGAGATTCCTGTGATCGCAAGGCGAGGACCTTAGCCACTAGGCTACCACCCCAACCCACAACAACTTTAAAATCTTAATATATAAACATTGGGAAATTGCAAAGAAAAATAAGTAAAATTCTTAGAAATTCAGTAGTGATTTTAGTTTACATCCTTATGAGTTAAAAACATAACAGAAATTAGAGGGGAAAAATTAATGAGAGAAAGCATTAACATTCAACCACAAAATGTACAGGAGAAATGAACAGAAGTTCTCAAAATAAGTAACTCTCAAAACTGATCACTTGGAGGCTGCTTACCATGTTCGTAGAAGAAAGCTTATTCGGGAGCTTGGGTACAAATGAATTTAGTCTGAGTGTAAACCAATGTGGAGAGATACATCCATAGTCTTAATAATGTTCACAGGCTTCTGTTTTTAGAGATTCATTTTTTGTTGAAGAGTCTCAGGATGCCCGGATGGGCTTCAGTGTGTGTTTATCTTGGCATTGTTTGAGTCAAAAACTTCAGGAAATGATTCAATAAATGATAAGATGCATATAAAAACTGGACAGTAGATCTTTCTGAGTTGTTTTGGTAGAAACATGAGTGGACTATTAAGGAGAAAGACCTAGATACAAGATGTAATATAAGGTGAATATTATTATTATTAAGTCAAGTTTTAGGAAAGAATTTTTTGAAACTTGATGTAAAATGCATTTGATTACTGGAATCTGATTTGGTGCCCCTTCCTGTCTCTCCAATGGAACCCTGTAGATCGAGTGCCATCCATACTTCACTCAGCCAAAACTGCTGAAATTTTGTCAACAGCATGACATTGTCATTATTGCGTACAGCCCCTTGGGGACTGCTAGGAATCCGATGTGGTAAGTTATGCTACACGTCTCTCACAGCAGGATTTCCTGAAATATGCAGAACAAGACTAACACCATTTACGTTACTGAAATGACACCACTTGGCTGTGGGATCTAATCCATTATGCCCAATTGTCAGAAAATAGTACAGTTTTAAAGACTTAAAATGACCAATAAATGTACCTCTTTTGGTAACTTGGGAAAAGTTTATAGCCACTGAAGTATTCACAATTAAAAATCTAGCCACTGAAGTATTCACACAATTAGAAATCTAGGTTTCATGGTGTTAAGAAAGTAACTTCTTAAATTCATTATGTGCTAACATGTATTAGACCTAATACATCCATCCCTCTCTATGAACTGTTGTAGGAATTTCTTAAGCTATGAAATTATCTATCAGTGCCTAGTAAATAGGAAGGTTCCAGTAAATATTTACCCAATTGTTATTTAGTAAAGCCTTTAACAAATAAAAAAATTACTGACTTATTTTAATTGGAAAGGCAGATCAGATTTATGGAAAGAAGGAGAGATAGAAAGATTTTCCATCCCCCAAACGGCCACAACAGCCAGAGCAGAAGTGATCCTAAGCTAGGAGCTTACCCTGGGCCTCCCACAGAGGTCCCATGGCTCTGTGCCATCTTCTACCGCTTTCTCAAGCTATAAGCAGGGTGCTGGATGGCAAGTGGTGCATCCGGACACAAACTGGTGCCCATATGGGAGCCTGGCACTTACAAGTTGAGGATTTAGCCATTGAACCATTGTCCTGGGTCCCAGTAGAGTTTTTATAGTCACATTCTGAAATATTGGAATTACTTGTTTTATTGTATTTATTTAGTTTGCTCTCTGTATTCAGTGTTGACTCTACCGCTTGGATGTATTCCACAAAGTACAAACTTGACCCATGCCAAGATGATTTCAGAAGTTGTGGCTCTCCTTGCACTTGAGTCCTTCTGGAGCCTTTTTCCGTGTGCCTTCTCTTAGAGTCTGTAGGCTCAGCAGGCAGCTCTGGGAACTTGCTGCCTGGATCCTCTCCTACAAGGAGCAGCTCTTCACTGAAGGGCTTCTGTGCACTCAGAGCGCTTGATCACAGGCGACCCCAGAATGTCCCGGGACATCCCCAGTTGAAGGGCGAGACAGAGGAGAGGATTTGGTTGTCATCACTCTGGCTAAACATGGTGGTGCATTCTTGCTTTCTGAAAGGGTGAACACGTCTTCCCCGCCTTTGTTGGAGGATGCACTGCTAAACTTACTCGGGAAAAAGTACAAGAAGACAGCAGCCCAAATTGCTCTGCGCTTCAACATCCAGCGAGGGGTGGTTGTCATTCCTAAAAGCTTTAATCCTGCAAGGATCAAAGAAAACTTTCAGGTGAGAGAATTGGCTTTTGGAAATGTGAAAATATGAGTGTGTTTGTTGCCTTTGCTTGCAGAGAACTTCACTTTGACTCACTGAGAAGCTATCCTGTGTTGCTTTATTGCATGTAGCTTCCTGAGCCTGCTTCCCCATCTTTTTATAATTTGTATCACTTGCAGATTTCTTCGCTGCTTGTTTGTTGCTAGCTCCCTTCAATCTTCTGCAAAACACAATAATCCACATTATCACCAACACCCATAACCCCTTAATTTAACGAAACCTAAACCCAACCATCTAACAATAATTACTCCTATTTTACCCAGAATATCCACAAAAAACTAAATAAACCTTCAAACAACAAAACAATTCCCTTATCACATCTCCCCTTTCCCCTCCCTCACACTAACTAACACAAACAAACTCCTACAAAAACCACACAAATAACCTAACAAAAATAAAAACATCCCTCCCACCCACCCCACCCAACCCCAACCCCCCCCCCCACCCCCCCCCCCCCCCCCCCCCCCCCCCCCCCCCCCCCCCCCCCCCCCCCCCCCCCCCCCCCCCCCCCCCCCCCCCCCCCCCCCCCCCCCCCCCCCCCCAACCCCCCCCCCCCCCCCCCCCCCACCACCCAAACACCCCCCCCCAAACCCCCCCCCCCCCCCCCCCCCCCCCCCCCCCCCCCCCCCCCCCCCCCCCCCCCCCCCCCCCCCCCCCGCCCCCACCCCCCCCCCCCCCCCCCCCCCCCCATGGCATGAATCAGTGCCACATGAGGGATCCATGCAGAAACAAGGCCATGATTTATCCATCAGGCAGCTGTGCCAGGCCCAAATTTGAGAATTATTGCAGCAAATCTTTAAGGATTTTATTCCTTCTGTACATAATTTGTGATCATTATTATACCCCTCAGGTGAGAAAAGAAGCTGCTAGATAAGAGTAATTGTTCTTTTCTCGCCAAAGATGAATGAAAACCACCATGCAACATTAGGAACTGCCCATTTGTTTGTAACAAATTTCAAAGTAAATTATTTGTTCAGCTCATAAAAATAACAGGTATGCATAAATTTTAAAAAGTAAACATGAAAGAGTATGTGTCCCCTCCTACAAAAAAAATACTTTAATGCCTGAGCATAGGTCACAAGTGACTGGTGGACACAGTAATTGGGATAAGGCAGAAGCCTTCATCTTTTATTTCACTCTGCCTTGCACCAGCATGGCTCTAACAGTTCTTAGTGAACTCAGTTGCACACAGATATCCCTGCTGCCTGATAGTTGCCTGTGTGTTTCAGCCCTTGGAAACTGCAATTACTAACACTTCCTTACTTCTTCACGGGCTCAATTTCAAACATGCTTCTTCTTCAAGCATTTTTGGTTGTTCCTGTTTCCTGACTGGGTGATTTGTGCCAGTTTATAAAGAAGATTTAAGTGAATAAGAAGATCCTATATAAGTTTACTTACCGCTGAAGCTGTTACTTCTGTTTCTTACATTCTTAAGTTTCTTAAGAGCAAAATGTGTTTCCATTGCTTCCAATTCCTATTCCCTATTATCTTTTACAATTTTCACATCAGATTTTCACTCTGACTGCTGCACTGCCCATCCAGCTCTCTGCTTATGATCTGAGAAAGCAAGTGTAAGACAGCGCCAAACCTCGGAACCCTGCACTTGCATGGGAGATCCTGAAGGGCTTCTCAGCTCTGCTCATCCTCAGTCACTGCAGTCACTTAGAGGAGGCAACCATCGCATGGAACACATTTCTGTCTCTCCCCTATATATCTGCCTTTCCAATAAAAATAAATAAATCTTAAAACAAAATAAAAAGTAAATCCGTAGGCTCACTCTCTGGGACTCCATGAAATCCTGCATCAGGACAAGATTTGCAGCTCTGCAAGGCCACTGGGTTCATCTGCAACCTTCAGACTCAAAGGGCTTGAAGCAGGAAGGCTGTTTGAGCAAGAATTCATTTTGTGACTGGTCATTCTTATTTTTGTGTTATTCAAATGTTTGATCCTTTATAGTTTCGTAAAATTAAATACTTGAACAATTAACAACAAATACTGATGCCCTGAAAATAGCATTTTGAACACAATTCACTAAAGAAAAAAAAATTGAGCAAATGTTACATCTATCTACCCTATGATTACCATAGTCAAATGAGTAAAGTAAGTCCATGTGTTTGACAGAAAAGATCAGTAAAGTACCATGCAACTAAAGTTACAGAATAAAGCAGTACTGTATTTTCCTCTTGTTGTTTTAATGTGTGGGAGGAACACCTGTGAGGGGAGGTAAGCTGGGTGGGGAGGATGAAAGGAACTTGCATTTTAAAAGCTGCGTACTTGTTCTGCTGGCATTGTAGTACAGCAGGTTAGTTTTCACTTGAGTTTGGCATCCTGTATTGGTAGTGTCTGTTTCAGTCTTGGCTACTCTGCTTCCCACCCAGCTTTCTGCTCCTGCTTCTGGAAAGGCAGCAAATGATGTCCCAACTGCCATCCACGTGTAATACCAGGATGAAGTACCTGGTTCTTGGCTTTGACTTGTCCCAAATTTGCCTCTTGTGGTCTTTTGGGGAGTGAACCACTGCTTAGCAGATCTTTCTCTCTTACTCTCCCCAACCCTATCCTGCTGTGCTTTTCAAATAAATAATAAATATTTTTAAAAAATATGTGCTCGTTTATTTTAGAAAGGTGTTTTGAAACAGAAAGGAACAGGCAGATAAAGAGGTCCACAAGATGAAGTGTGAAGTGATCTGAGTTTTGGGAGGTTTTGGCCCCATGAAGCTCAGGTACAACACCATCATGCTTGTGCTCCACCTCACCTGCCTGCAAGTGTGGGATTTCCCACTTAACTCCATACTTCTCTGTATACCGCTGTCAAATACTACTCATAGTTAAACTTGATAAATCGATAATACATTTAAAAATGCAGTGTGCACAAAGTGTGCGAGCATAAAGAAAAATAAAACTATGATTATGCTGTTAAAATAAAAAGGTAGGCAGGACATTGAAACCATGTGAGAAAGTATTTCACGATATAAAAAGTAAAGTTTGGAAAAAATAATCAAATTTACAAACTAGGAATTAAAAAAAAAAGTAAAAGAAGGTAGTATTCCAAAATTAAAAATGGAGCAATTAAAAAAAAAAGATTTAATTTCCTTCATTGAAACTGAAGGTGATAGGTTGTGGAGAGGATTTGATGATTCATCCCCCAGAAAAGCCGCAACACTCAGCTAGGTGGAAGCCAGGAGTCTGGGCCTCCCTGCAGGGGGTAGAGGCCCAAGCAGGTGGTAGAGGCCATCTTTGCTGTTTTTGCTTTTACAGTAGCAGCGAGCTACACAGAAAACAGAGCAGCCAGCACTTGGACTGTCGCTCTGTTATGAAATCCCAGCATTCTTACTGGACCTCAAGTTGAGCATCTTACACAGAAAAAATAAGAAATCTTTTACGTCTGGAATGTCAGTAAAATTCCAGAACATTTGTTATTTGAGATAGCATTTGGAATATCTTACAAAATATTCTCAGCAACTATCTCAAACATGCAGAACTAAAAAGTACATCCAGCCCCATTTCCAGTGGTGTCTCCAGAAGCAGCCCCACCTTCTCAGGCGTGCACAGAGAGGCTCCTATTCCTGTGGAGGGCTCCCACAGCCGTCCCACACTCCCTCACCTCAAGCTTAACCCATCTTCCACCTCCAAGAATGTTCTTTTATTTTGTTTGTTCCAGATCTTTGACTTTTGCCTTACTGAAGATGAGATGAAGAACATTGAAGCCTTGAATAAAAATGTCCGATATGTGGAATTGCTCATGTAAGTTTTGGGGGGGATTGTTAATAAGAAATGGCCCAGTGGTTTTGGATCGTTAAGCATCTACCAACAGAGCTATCATGTATCTGTGTATCTGTAAGAAACACAGGTGTAAGTATAACGCACAGCTTATTCTAAATGTCCACAATGAGGGGATTTTTAAAAATTCATGGGAAAACAGAGTCAGATAACATTCATTTTTCATGAACTTTCTGAGGTTCCCCTCTTATCCTCAGAAATTCCCACAACTTCACATTTTTATTTTCTCTTGATTTTACCCAAAAGGCTGGGAAGTCATTACCCCAGAGGGTCATTTAAGAGTCCTGATTTATGCCATTCCATGACTTAGGTTAAAGGAGGGCATGCTAAGGATTCTGAGAATTATCTCACAATGTACATGTGCTAGACAACTGACTCTGTACATGCATGTTAGAGAATAATGTATATATTTTAGAGAATTAACTCATTACGTACAGATTAGGGAATTTTACCTCTTTACATAGATATTTGAGAATTGATTCATTATTGATATGTTAGAAAATTCATGTATGTTATAGAATTAACTCATGTGTATGTCAGAGAAACTAAGCCATGTGTACAATTTAGAGAATGAACTGATTAAGTACATATGTTGGGGTACCCATAATGCATAAAGCTTAAACAATTGATTCATACATATATGTTAGAGAATCAACTCATATACAAGTTATCTTGATGGATTTATATTGGAGAATTAGTTTATAATGTGTACTCGCTAAATAGGAGTGAAAGTATCAACAAAACATATTTATTCCTTCCAAAAATGCGGAGCAATGCACAAATTGGAGCAAAATTTTCTAAAAAATACTTCAAGAATTTCCTCGTTGAAAGGCACTGCTGCAATAAAGCAGGAAAAGAAACTTCAGCTTGCAAATTTCCGGCATACGTCCAGATCCACTGTTAACTAATCTCCCACAATAGAATTTCCTACATTCTTTCAAAGTGTTAGTACATTCAATTAATCCATTTAACTAATCCTTTATTTGCTAAATGTTACATGTTTTTCAAAATCAAATATGATGCAGATGTTACACATATGAATATCTATCTAAACACATGATTTTTTTTCATTTATATCATTCTGCCTTAAACTTCTCAGTATTTAAATCACCTAAAGAGCCTTCTTTGTTTGGCAATTTTTAACTTCACATTTAGAAAAATACTCACTAAAATGATTAATATAGTTGGCCATTTGTCCTCTAAACTGTACTTCCTTGGTGATACAGAAGATACTCTGGTATAATAATGCATATCTGAACTACTGTTAAAACAATTTCTGAATGTTAATTAACCAGGGAAAAATTGAGGTGCTACTCAGCCTCAAAAACTAAAAACACAAGCTCATGATATTTTGCCAGAACTGAGAGAGGAGTAACAGTGCTTAAAGACAAATAGGTATGATTAAATAGCAAGAGGTAACCAATCCACCACTGTACTGATCTTTTTTCACAGACATGTGTAACATGAGTCAGTTTAACATTTCTTACTTTTAACACCAATTCTAGCCTATTTTTCAGGAAACAGTTAGAAAACTAGCAAGATGAAAAAACTGTTAAGCCATGTGAACCAACAAACTTTCACTTAGAAATTCCGGGTCATATACATACTGTTTTCATTCAGCTGGTCTACGACATGGGAGAGCCTTTTTTATTTTATATTTTAATTTAAAGTTTATGGTAACTTGGAAAGAACTGAGTCATGACAGGGACAGACCCTGCAGACCTTTTATAACCTATCTCACCACTGTTGTTTCAGGCACAGGTTCATCATCATCACTGTCAATAGTGATGAACACTTTACTGGTCAGCCCCTTTGTAGAGCTCCAAGCTTTACACACTCACAGGGTGTAGTGAGAGGGGACAGGAAGCATTCCTGAGCAGAAGAGTTTTGAAGAGCTCATGCCGTTCATTGTGAGGGAGGGATGCAGGGTCCAGAGAGGTGTGGAGGAAGGAGCTGAGACTGTCCTGAAAACACAGGCAGCATGACTAGCCTCTGGCTCGTTCATGTTGTCCTTGTTATTGTTGTGCTGAACAAAACGTTAACATGGTGACATCCTCATCCTCCCACTCACACTCTGGGTGCCCTCCAGGGCTGCAGGGAAAGGCACTGGCTTGAGGGAAAACACAGGAGGAAAGTGTAATAAACCCGGGGAGAGTCCATGCAATAAGAAGATGTGAATAACCCACATGGCATCATGACTTTTGGAGTGACTGTTTTTCTTCTGGGGGCTGTGTTTACAGGTGGAGAGATCATCCTGAATACCCATTTAATGATGAGTATTGACTTCAGAGCACCCCTGAGCAGACTGTTCCTCCCCTTGAGCTTGCAGACTTTGGGCTGAGTGGTTCCCAAAGATGTGGACATGACAAGGGTTTCACTGTCCTCAACGTGATAATGAAATTATGCCTAACTTTTGTGTAGTGTACGTGACTTTGATTGAGCTAGACTTAATGTAAGTAGTTCAAATCTGATGAAGTAACTATTCGGAAATTATCAGCTAGAAATATTTAGATTGATGTCTTCTATATTTCAGACTGAAAGATGTAAAGACTTTAAAGACTTAGAAAAGTTTTAAAAGATAGCATTTAAAAACAGTAACTCATGAATCTGCGCACTAACATTTAGGAGTTTGAATTCTTCAGTAGTCAACATGATAATCAAAAGTGGGGACACCTAGCAGACAATGCACACATCATACACTATTGACAAGGAAGTAATTTTTCCCACGTGAGAAGAAATAGAAGGCAGAATGCAGAAAAGTCTAAAGATACAGCCACGTCATCAACACAGAGGTCAGCAAAGTCCTCATGATCTTGGTGTAATGCAGTTTTGTTCCACCCACTATGTGTTTCTATAGCATTTATGCAGCACACAGAATGGATTTTTACCAGTTCTCTCTGGCGTCCTTAATGGGCTTTAGGCTCCAACAAAACTGCAACGGGTCACCCGCAGGGGCTCTGTCTTATCCCCTCACACACAATCATCAAAAACTGTTGCTGAGTGAAGTGACTTGCAAAACCAACATCACAAATAAACTCTATCAAAAAATCATTCCAACACTGCTGTTATAAAAGCAAGTACTTAAAAGGTTTTAAGAAATATAATGAAAGACAGTCATGAAGTTACTATGCTTATGTAATTTTTACGTAATTTTTAAGAGAGCTATTGCGAAAGTCATATAAATTTTGAGAAAGTGGCAAACTGAAAATACCATTAGCAATTTACTGTCTATAAATTTTCTAAAAATACACAAGATTATTAGAATTCAGCATTACAGACTTAACTTTTCACTTAAACTAGATCAATTATTTGTTCACAATAGATCATTGTCCTAGGATGAGAGAACTTTTTAAAAATTGCAGGTTTCAGAACAAATTCTTTTCATCTCCATTGCATAAGCACGTATGTTACTGCTTAAAAAAAGTCTGATACTATACTTTCCAATGGTTCTAACACTAAGAAATGTATAATGCTGTCATGTGGAAAATAATTTGTTCACAAAAGAATAATAAAGTATGATGATCTTTTTTCCTCAATATGAATCTCCATTCATTTTCTAAAATGGGTGAAGGGGAAGAATCATCAATTCAAGGAAATTAAAAGTCCTGTTACTGAGTCCTGCCATCCATTCAGTACTGGAAGGGGAGGATTCAAACAGGGATAGCACAACAAAACAGCAGAACGTTGAGTACTGAGCCACGTTGTCCAAACACTGCAAAAACACTTCTCCAAAGTAGGCTTCTATCTCTGGAAACTCTCTATTTTTGATTTAATTAGATTTAATTTATATATATTTCCTTCATTAAGATTTTAGGGTTTTCAGTGTGCAGGGGGAAAAGAAATCCCGGAGCCTATGGAACTGTATCATAAAGTAATAAATTAAATAATTTAAAAATTTATTTTCATTTTATTTGATAGGGTGACAGATAGGCGTATATATAAAATATTATTAATACAGTCTGTATATCTACATATACAGCCTATATATATCTATACTGTTATATATATTAACTTTATATATATATATATATATCATATAAACTAATATACAGTTAATGCCCAACTTCTCAAGGGCAGAAGCTCCTGGGCTCAGAGCCCCTCTAGGCTCTGCTCATTTGTGTTCTTCAAATGCCCATGACGAGAAACGGAAAAACCTGGGGCCTGTACCATAACACAGGAGATTATTCTGCCTGAGGCACCAACATCCCATACAGGCACTGATGAATGTCCTGACTGTCCCACTTCCTAAGCAGCTTTCTGCTAACAGCCTGGGAAGGCAGCTGAGAATGACTCAACTCACCAGACCCCTGCAGCAAGAGGGAGACTCAGAGAAAACTCCTGGCTCCTGGCTTCAGATTGACCAAGCTCTGGCCATTGCAGCTATTTAAGGAGTGAAACATTAGGTGAAAGCTCTCTCGCTCTCTTTTATAATCTCTTTGTAACTCTGCCTTTCAAAGGCAAATATTTTTGGCCCCGGTGGCATGGCCTAGTGGCTAAAGTCCTCGCCTTGAACGCGCTGGGATCCCATATGGGCACCAGTTCTGATCCCGGCAGTGCCACTTCACATCCAGCTCCCTGCTTGTGGCCTGGGAAAGCAGTCGAGGATGGCCCAAAGCCTTGGGACCCTGCACCCACATGGGAGACTGGGAAGAGGCTCCTGGCTCCTGGCTTCAGATAAGTGCAGCCCGATCCATTGTGGCTGCTTAGGAGACCCGGAAGAGGTTCCCGGTTCCCAGCTTTGGATCAGCACAGTACTGGCTGTTGCACTCACTTGGGGAGTGAATCATCAGATGGAAGATCTTCCTCTCTGTCTCTCTTCCTCTCTGTATACCTGACTTTGTAATAAAAATAAACAAATCTTAAAAAAAAATACTTTTAAAAAGAAAAAACAAATATTTTTAAAAACATTTATAAAAGAAAAAGAAAAAAATAGATACATATAAGTAATACTTCTCTGAGTTTTATCAACCCCTCTAGATTGAACCTGTGGTTAGTCATGGGAAGCTTGATTTACTGCAGGCTGGTCAGAAGGACGAGTCACAGCTGAGGGCTGCCGTCTGCAGTGGGGAAGTGTGATGAGGCTGAGCTCCAATTTGCACTGTGATTCTATACGCAAAAGGAGAGTGTCAGAACTGAATCAAACTGGGGAAAACTCAGTTGGTGACTGGTGGAGAATTGCTTGTACCATAGGAAATAGACCCATTTACACCTGACATCAGAAGTGTTGTGTCAGGAGCAGGCGTTGTGGCACAGTAGGTTAAGCCTCCACCTATGATGCAGCATCCTATATAAGCACCACTGCTCCACTTTTGATCCAGATTCCTGCTAATGCACCTGGGAAGGCAGTAGAACATAGTCCAATTGCTTGGGTCTGCACCCTATGTTGCGGATGTGGAACCAGCCCCTGGATTTGACCAGGCCCAGTTCTGGTTTTTGTGGCCATTTGGAGGGGCCATTTCCTCCTTATCTCTCCTTCTCTCTGTAACTCTGCCTTTCAAATAAATATTAAAAGAGAAATGTTGTGTTGAGTGGCTGTGTGAGAGTATGTATAACTTAATTTTAGCGGGCCTCCTTTCTTTTTGATCTTAGAGGAAGGGATTTCATGTTCTCATGTTTTCACTGGCTGGTGACATATGGCCTTTATTGTTCTAAAATAGGTTCCTCTATACCTAACCTGTTGAACAAGTTTGTATCATTAAAGGGTATTACATTTCGTCAAGTGGCTTTTATGCATTTGTTGAGATAATTACGTGATTTTAGATACATGTTGCAAATGAAGTAAGTTTGCCTATGTTGAGCCATCACTGCATCTCAGAGATACTCACTTTCAGCGTGACGAATGATCCTTTTTACACACAGTTCAATTTGGTTTTCTAGTATTTCACTGAGGGTTTCTATATCCACGTTCATTAAGGGATATTGGTAATTAATTTTCTCTTCTTACACTACTCTTTGTATGATGGTAATGTTGGCCTTGCCAAAATGATTTTGGAAGTGTTTCTTCATTTTCAATATTTTCAAAGTATTTTATAAAGGGTGGCATTAATCCACTTTCAATATTTGTAGAATTTGGCAATCAAACCATCAGGTCTTTGCTTTTTCGTCAATGGGAGATTTTTCATTACTCCTGGACTCCTTACTGCTTAGTTCCTAATTTCTGATTGTTAATGATTCAGTCTTGTTAGGTTGTATGTTTCTACAAGTGCATCTGTTCATACTAGTTTATCCAGCTTGTGTATAATTATAGTGGTTTCCTATGATGCTTTGTATTTCTTTGGTCTCAGTAGTATTATCTCCTTTTTTATTTCTGGCTTCATCTATTCAGTGTTCTTTTTTTAAGTTAGTTTAGGTTAATTTTATTAATTTAAGAGATGAAAACAAAGAAACCTCTGGCCACTGGTTCACTCCTTGAATGTCCACAACAGTCATGACTGTGCTAAGACCAAGATCGGGGCTAGAACACAATCCCACTCCCACAAGGGTTGCAGGAACCCGATTAGCTGAGTATCTTCATTGCCTCACAGGCTCAGCATCTATAGGAAGCTGCAGTCAACAACCAGAGCTGGAAATCAAACCCAGATCACATCAGTGTGGGATACAGGCATCTTCATTGCCAGTAAACTCATTCCATAGCTAAATATTTATCAATTTTATATTTTCAAAAGATCCACTCCTTGGTTTTAACATTCTTATTGTTTTTCTAGACTCTTTATCATTGATTTATGCTCTAATACTCATTTCCTTTCTTCTACTTGCTAACTGTGGGCTTAGTTTCTTCTTTTCTTAGCTCCTACAAGTGCAATGTTATTTATTTCAGATCTTTCCTATTTTTCAATATCATCCTTTATTGCTATGAACTTAAAATATTTTTCAGCTGATTGAAGACAGAATATCACACATACACACACACACACACACATACAGATAGAAAAGGAGAAAGAGAGAGAGAGAGAGAGAGAGAAATATCTTCCTTCTCGAGTTCCCTCCCCAAATGTCAACAACCAGGGCTTGAGCCAGGCTGAAATTAGTACCCAGAACTTCATATATGTCTTCTACTTGAGTGCCAGGGTCCTAGTGTTGGAATCATCCCTTGCTCACTCAGAGGCTTAAGCATGCATGTACAGCAGAAGTGGAACAGCAAAGACTCAAGCTGGCACTCTGCTACAGGATGAGGGCTTCCTGGATCATGGCTTAACTCACTACATCACAATATTCAACCCATGAAATAGATTTTTTTCAATCTGCTTTTATTGAACTCTGTAATTCTGATATGTTCTGTTTCTATTTTTTAGCTGTTTTTAAGATTTTAAAAGTTCTCTTTGATTTCTTTTCTTTCTACTTAAGAACATGTTTTATTTTACTACATATTTGCAAGTTTTCCTCCTGATATTTATTTCACACATTGTGGTTAGGAAAGGTCCTTGATATCATTTCAGTCTTCCTAAATATGTTAAGACCTGTTTGATGCCTAACATACAATCTAGCTTGGAGAATGTGTTTTTCTCGTATTGGATAGAATTTTCTGCGTGTGTCTGTTGGTTTCTTTGGTCAAAAGTGTAGCTGAAGTTTACTGCTTCTTTAGATTTTCTGTTTAGAACATCTATTGTTGAAAATAGTATATTGGGGCCTGGCACGGTGGCACAGTGGTTAAGGTCCTCGCCTTGCACGTCCCAGGATCCCTTATGGGCGCCTGTTCTAACCCGGCGGCCCCGCTTCCCATCCAGCTCCCTGCCTGTGGCCTGGGAAAGCAGTCAAGGATGGCCCAAAGCTTTGGGACCCCGCACTCGTGTGGGAGACCCGGAATAAGTTCCTGGATCCTGGCTTAGGATCGGCATAGCATTGGCCGTTGAGCTCACTTGGGGAGTGAATCATTGGACCGAAGATCTTCCCCTCTCTCCTCCTCTCTGTATATCTGACTTACCAATAAAAATAAAAAATACATCTTTACAAAAAAGAAAATAGTATATTGAAGTCTTCTACTATTATAATGTTTAATTTTCTCATGCATTTTGTTGGTCTTAATAATTTGCTTTACATGTTTAGGTGTTTCAACGTTGGGTGGATAAATATCTTCTACATATAATTTATATACCCTCTTGATCCTTTTATCAACATATAATCACCCTCTTTTTTCCTACAGTTTTGACTTTCAGTCCATTTATTTATGTTCTAAGTATGTCTAGCCGCCCATGTTTTCTTTTGGTTACCATTTGCTTGTAAAGATTTTTCCTACCATAACATTCAATCATTTTATGTTTTGATGCCAAATTTACATTTATAATATTCTAATACTAAGAGCTGAGTCAGGTTAATGACTGCTATGGATTTCCTATGGTTGAGTTTGTTTCCACGGTTCACTGTTCAAATGTTGAAATTTGTCATTGAGAAGTATTAGGAGTGCAGAATCTTCAATTCATCATGGTGTGTATAGGCAGGTACATTTAGAGGTGCTTAGAATTTAAAAATTTCATCAGGGCAAAGCCCCCATGTTTAACTACTGCTGAAATTTTTTCAAAAATAAAATAATTATGTAATTATTTGAAAGGCAGAATTAGAGAAAGAGAGAGAGAGAGAAAGCGATATCTTCCATTCATTGATTCACTCCCCAAATGGTCATAGCAGCTGGAGCTGGGCTAGGGCAAAGCCAGTAGCTTCTGGGCTTCCCACATGAATGTTCGAGCCCAAGAACTTGGACTATTCTCTCCTGCTTTCCTAGGCTATTAGCAAGGACCTGGATCAGAAGTGAAGGACCTGGAATTTAAATCTGTGCCCAATTGGGATGCTGGTGTCCCAGGAAGAGGCTTATACTGTTACACCAAGGCACCAGGCTCAACTGATGGGGTTTTAAGGAGCAAGACCAGAAAGAACACACATATTCTCCTTGTGTTTTGCCATGTGATATTCTCCCTTCTCTTGGCACTCTCCCTGAAAGCAGGCCATCAGCAAATGCAGGTCTTCGAACCTTTAGGACTATCCTCCTTTTTACCAAGTTAGCTCAGGATGCATAAACTCCATCATGAGTTTCCCACATGATGGCACGAACTAAAGCTCTTGGGCCATTATCTACTGTCTTCCACATGCAGCATCAGGAAGCTAAATCAGAAGCAGAGGCAAGATATGATCAAAAGCATTGTACTGTAACATGTAAGCTTAATACCCTGCTCAGAAAGTCACCTCTGGGTATTTTTAATAGATCTCTAAATTCACTTTTTTTTTTTTTTGCTGCTTAGTCCAGTTGCTATTGATAAATTCTGTTTCATTATTCATTTCATTCATTTCTTCTTCAGTATTAAAATTTCACCCTTGAATCCAGTTAAAATCCTTGCCTTGCATGTGACAGGATCCCATGACCTGCCTGCTCTACTTCCCTTCTGGCTCCCTGCTTGTGGCCTGGGAGTGCAGTCGAGGACGGCCCAAAGCTTTGGGACCCTGTACCCACGTGGAAGACCCGGAAGAGGTTCCTGGTTCCTGGCTTCGGATCGGTGCAGCACCAGCCATTGCAGTCACTTGGGGAGTGAATCATTGCATGGAAGATCTTCCTCTCTGTCTCTCCTCCTCTCTGTATACCTGACTTTGTAATAAAAATAAATAAATCTTTTAAAAAAATAACTTCACCTATATTTTGAAAATTATTGCTAACTTCTCATTTACTTTGTGTATTATTTTCTTGAGTTGTCTGTATTTTCTTATTGCTTATTGATTTTTTAAAGCAATATTGCTGAATTTCTTAGGCGATGCATAGATTTCCATTTCCTTGAAGTTATTGTGCTCTTCAGTAGTTACATATTTCCTTGGCTTTACCTAGAGGTGGGAAAAGTGCTGGCTGGATGAGGTGAAGCAGTTCCAGTTTGCCTAGCTTCGATGAGTACACATTGGGATGGATTCCATGCAGCTTTCAGTGGAGGTCTGTGTAAGCAAAGATTTCAGATCTCAGTGACCAATGTTGTAGATGTTTGTAGCAGGGCCAAGGGTTCAGAATCTTTTGGTGTCAAAGGCTTTTGTAGATTCCCTAATCTGCTTTTCTTTCAAGAAAAATGTCATAAACAAGGAGTTTCCTCTCAGTAGACCATTGTGGGTATGCTTAGAGTGATGGCAACAAAAGTGTGTGATCCACACTGTCCATGGAATAACAATGATGTCTGCGTGGAGGAATTTGGAGTAGCGTGGCATCAGTGGCTGTAGAAAGATTCCCCCACTGCTGCATTGGCTATGCTAAATAAGGCAAGGGACTCACAGAGTAGCTTCAGAACCTAAGCTTCAAGTTCAGCTATGTGCAGTGCTACCACTGCTTCGAGATCTAGGGCCTAGGGCACAAACATATGCCCTGTAGCTGAACCTCTATTAGTGCTTGTGGTAGCCAAAGGAACCAGGACTGGAACACAGGCGTATACTCATTAATTGTGTCTCTGAAGTATAGCATGAGGCTAGATGGCTATAAATATATGCTTTCAAAGCACCTTAACTACAGGTTCCAGTGTGGAGGCCCCTGCTCCAGTGTCTGAGCATGTGTGTGTGCAGTGCAGCTGTGGAACCAGAGTCTGCAGAGGAGCCCATGTGGAGCAGCTGTACTCCAGGTCCGAGATATGTGAAAGATGGTATAGGTTTGAGGGGCAATCTCACAGAGGTATAATGTTGACTTCTTCTTAGGGACAGGAGATGAACTGAACAAGTATTCCTTGAGCAGAGTGTTTGCAATACTGCTGGATCTGGGTTACCACTGAGGCAAAGTGGCTGTTGTAGATAGCAAATATTTCTGGGTGTAATAGGTAAGTCAATATCATCATTCTATGTTGTTTGTCTTCCAAATTTTTATTCATTTACTCTAAAATATGAAAAATCAGTATGAAAAAGAAATCAAAATTTAGATATGAGAACTGAATTGAAACTATAAAACTCAAGCAAGAAAACAGAGGAAAAACCTATGACATGGGTCTACGCAAAAGTTTTTGATATGACATCAAAAGCACCAGCAACAGGAGCCAAAACAAATAGGAACATTACAACAAAGAAAAAAATGTTTACGTAGTAAAGGACAGAATCAACAAAATGAAAAGGGAAGCCACAAAATGGAAGAAAATATTGGAAACCATAAACTCTTAGGAGCTGGGTGTATTCCCATGCTCACCAGTCGCAACAGCTAACAAATGGAAATGTTTTTGTCAATGGACTGGAATATAGGTGTGAAGTTATTGTGTGCAGAAGGAGTATGACTCCACTTTAATGAAGAGTGGAATTCTGCCATGTGTAATAGCACAGATGTACCAGCGTCCACTGAAATAAGTTAGACACCAAAAGACAAACACTGATCTCGTTTAAATACGGGATTTAAAACAGTTGCACACAAAGAAACTCAAAGTGGAGTAATTGTGAGAGGCACCCTTAGCAATAAGCTAAGGATGTAAAGTTTCAGTTGAAAATGAGTAATTTTGGTGGTAAAATTATAGGCTGGTTAGTTTAGTTAATAATATATACATGGAATTTTTTTAAAGATAGGAAATCTTAAGTAGAAGGATTCTCACTGCATATAAAGAAGAAAAAGATAATTATGTAACATTATAGATATGAAAGCATTTCACAATATGTATATCAAAACATCTCATCACATAACTGGAATGTGCAATATTTTTATTTGTTCACCTTTTTCTCAGAAAGCTAAAGAAAAAAAAAATCCAGAAAAATACTGGCTATAGATTCTGGGATGAGTAATAGTAGGTAGGGATTTCTAACAGGAAATATCCAATAAGAATAAATGCAAATTACTTGACAAATGGTAAAGTTTAATGCGGCAGTCAGCTGAAACAAATGAAAAAAGAATATATAACTATTCCTAGGGAATTAGGTTTCTGTAGGTTTCGGTCTTAGTTTGCTATTTAAATATATGTGGTAATTAACAGCTGACATCTAAACTCTTAGTTTTCAGGGAAAAATAGTTTTAAATACCTGGTTTATATCTTGGCTATTCCATTTCTGATCCAGGAGTTTGGGAAAGCAGTGCAAGATGGTTTGAGCTGCTGCCACTCATAAGGGAAACTTGATTGGAGTTCCAAACTCATGGCTTCAACCTGGTACCACTGGCTATTGCAGTCATTTCAAATAACTAAATAAATTTTTTCGAAACTCTGATTTAACCTCTTATTAACTTAGTTAAACTCTTATTTAACTCTAATTTAAAATCTTGGACAGGATTTCTTCTCAGTGGTTGAAAAGCCATAGTGGGATACCCATAAACCAACCAGTTACCTTTTGTAGTCTACCCATTGAAGCAGCTAATGATGATCAAATATTTTGGTCCCTGCTTTCAAAATAACAATCTTGGAACAATTTTACAAGAAAGAGCTTATTCGTGCATGTTTTTTGTTTTGAGTCACTTCTTGTATGGGTCTTGCATGATAAGGATGACTCTGGACCCAGGGTGCTGGTTACAGAGCCTGGGTAGGCCATGTGCTTCTCAGGCCTCAGGCCCTGAGAGGGATACAAGGGGTTAATAATCTGTCCTTCAAGCTGGACAAAAGCTACTGAATGAAAGCAAGATGGCAGCAAGATCCTGAATGCTTTGCCAATCACTGGAATATTAACACTGCTTTATTTTCAGACTTTTTCTATACTTGGCCTCTGTCATTATCCTTGTTAATAGCGCACAGGTGGATCTCAATCCGTGTCTGCATTACTGCAGCACTGACCAGCTCCTTCCCTCTTTGTGCTCCTGTTAAGTGTTAAAGAACTTAGAATACCAATGGCAATTCTCAGATTTATTCTCAGAAGGCATTTCTGTCTTCATATGTGGCTTTTGAAATTTTCTAAACCAAGATATTTTACAGTCTGGAATCTAGAAGACATTAGTTAATAAAATATTACCTGATAACTTCCAAATAATTATTTCATCTGATTGGAACCTTTTTTTTCTCAATCAAACGTACTTATAACATACAGAAGTATGATTTTATTCTCACTTGGTCTGAGGTTAGTACAACTCCTTGCCCAAAGTCTGGGCATTCACGGGGAGGGACAATCCTTGCAGATGTTTCCTGAAGTCAGTATTCATCATTAAACGGGTATTCAGGATGATCTTGCCACCTGTCAAAATAACCACCAGAGGGAAAAATCACTCTAAAAATCACACAACTGTATAAATTGCTCAGGTCTTTGGGTAATTTCGCTGACCACTCTCCCAGCCCCACTTGTTCACTCATTCCCTTGTGTCTCACTCTCCTTTGTTCTTCTAAGTCACTGGTTTTTCCCACACCTTAGAAAAATAGCTGGGGGTGTATGCTGTGTGAATGTGTGAGTGTGTGTGTGTGTTTAAGTGTCTGTATGTAAGGATGTGGGAAAGCTGGTGCTCCACATGAATATTTTATTCAAAACAACAAACTCAGAGGCTAGTCATGCTGCCTGTGTTTTCAGGACAGTCTCGGCTCCTTCCTCCACACCTCTCTGGACCCTGCATCCCTCCCTCACAATGAACGGCATGAGCTCTTCAAAACTCTTCTGCTCAGGAATGCTTCCTGTCCCCTCTCACTACACCCTGTGAGTGTGTAAAGCTTGGAGCTCTACAAAGGGGCTGACCAGTAAAGTGTTCATCACTATTGACAGTGATGATGATGAACCTGTGCCTGAAACAACAGTGGTGAGATAGGTTATAAAAGGACTGCAGGGTCTGTCCCTGTCATGATTCAGTTCTTTCCAAGTTACCATAAACTTTAAATTAAAATATAAAATAAAAAAGGCTCTCCCATGTCGTAGACCAGCTGAATGAAAAAAGAAAAAGCATCCCTGAATGATAGTCTGTTGATTCATGAGGCTGAATACTTTCCCTCTGGCTCATTTTCTAGTTAATCCTGAACAACTGGCTAGTCTTCCTCAGTTTTGCTAGAATTGGTATTACATATGTCAAAGGTCAAACTGAATCATGTCACAAATGTCCATAAAATATTGATACGGTGATTGAATAATCACATCTCACTAGTCTATTTTTTATTTAATCATATCTATTTAATGGAAACTGTCACAACCACTGAAATGCATTTTATCTAACTGAACTTTTGGTTCAACCTCTTAAAATCCCTTCTTTGTGGACACACATCAACCACCCAGTTAGATTTAACATTTGGAACATGCTGCTACAATCCTTGCATCTGTGCCTTCTGCTGACACATGGGTCTGGATGCATGACAGCTCTGTTGGTAGATGCTTAACGATCCAATACCTTGGGGGCAGTGTCCCTTTCATGACCCCCCCAAAACTTACATGAGCATTTCCACATATCGGACATTTTTATTCAAGGCTTCAATGTCCTTCATCTCATCTTCAGTAAGACAAAAATCAAAGATCTGGAACAAACAAAATAAAAGAACATTCTTGGAGGTGGAAGATGGGTTAAGCTTGAGGTGAGGGAGTGTGCGACGGCTGTGGGAGCCCTCCACAGGAATAGGAGCCTCTCTGTGCACGCCTGAGAAGGTGGGGCTGCTTCTGGAGACACCACTGGAAATGGGGCTGGATGTACTTTTTAGTTCTGCATGTTTGAGATAGTTGCTGATGGGCCCGGCATGGTGGCACAGTGGTTAAGGTCCTCGCCTTGCAAGCCCGGGATCCCATATGGGTGCCTGTTCTAATCCCAGCAGCCCTGCTTCCCTTCCAGCTCCCTGCCTGTGGCCCGGGAAAGCAGTCAAGGATGGCCCAAGGCTTTGGGACCCTGCACCCGCGTGGGAGACCTGGAAGAGGCTCCTGGCTTTGGGTCGGCATAGCACAGGCCGTTGCGCTCACTTGGGGAGTGAATCAACAAATGGAAGATCTTCCTCTCTGTCTCTCCTCTCTGTATATCCGCCTTTCCAATAAAAATAAAAATAAATCTTTTAAAAAAAAAAGAGATAGTTGCTGAGAATATTTTGTAAGATATTCCAAAGTCTCTCTCAAATAACAAATGTTCAGGAATTTTACTGACATTCCAGAAGTAGATTTCTTATTTTTTCTGTGTAAGATGCTACATTTCTGACCCTGGCATGATGGTTCAACAGGCTAATCCTCCACCTCCAAGTGTCAGGATCCCATACGGGTACTGGTTCATATCCTATCTGCTCCACCTCCCATCAGCTCTTTGCCTTGTGGCCTAGAAAAGCAGCAGAGGATGGCCCAATCCTTGGGTCCCTGAACCCAATGTGGGAGGTCTTGGGGGAAGCTCCTGGCTTATGGCTTCAGATTGACCCAGCTCTAGTCACTCGTGTGAAGTTCATGCTCACACTGACAAGTGGTGTCCTGTCAGTTGCTCTGAAATTTTGGTTTGAATGGATATAAAAGATCATGAGGATTTAGAACTGGGACAATGAACACAGACTTTAAAAGAATTTACTATCAACAAAACATGTGGGTAACAACGTAAGAGGAAAATGGACTTAGACTGGAATTGTTTTTAAAACAATTTCAGTCAGCACGGTGGTACTGCAGGCTGTGCTGCTGCTTTCAGCACCAGAATAAGTGCGAAAGCAGTGAAAGCCCAGGTTTAAATCCTTGCTGTTCTGTATACTGTCCAACTCCCTGCCAATTTACCCAGAAAAGCAGCAGGAGATGGTTGAAGTACGTGAGGCCCTGCCAATCATACTGGAGATGCAGATGGAGTTCCTGGCTTCTGGCTTCAGCCTGGTGTAGCCCCGGCCATGGCAGCCATTTGGGAAGTAAAGCAAGGAATGAAAGATCTCTTGGTCTGTCTCTCCCTTCCTCTCTGTCTGAAACTTTCTCCCATTATGGCACTGTGTGTTTTCAAATATTAAATAAAAATAAATATTTAAGAAATTGGACATTATGTTGTATGTTGGTGGAGTAAAACAGCAGAGAATAAACTGAGGACATGGAGAAATTACTAGCTGCTGGTAATTGCAATTTCTAAGGGATGATCATGGGAATTAGTGGGTGAAATACACAGAACCAAGAACAGTGTGTGATCAAGTAACTATCAGAAAAAGGAGAACAATCTCTGTGGAATGAGGTTCACAAAAAAAATGAGAAGATATGTTGGAGAAACATCCAACAATAGCACTTCCATAGATGAAGGAATACCATTAAAACAAAAACTGCACAATGATACAATTCCATGCCTTTACTTTGTTGCCTTAATTATGAAGTAATAAATCAATAGTTTTTAAATAGTTTTCTTTCATTTCATTTAAACTAAGTCTGTGTTAAGCACACAATTAAGCTTAACTTATTACTACATATTTTAACACGCTTCAATAGCCAAATCTTTAATTTTATTTTTACTCTTTATGTTTTAGAAAGCAACACGGGATAGCAAGCATCTCAGTGAGTCAAAGTGAAGTTCTCTGCAAGCAAAGGCAACAAACACACTCATATTTTCACATTTCCAAAAGCCAATTCTCTCACCTGAAAGTTTTCTTTGATCCTTGCAGGATTAAAGCTTTTAGGAATGACAACCACCCCTCGCTGGATGTTGAAGCGCAGAGCAATTTGGGCTGCTGTCTTCTTGTACTTTTTCCCGAGTAAGTTTAGCAGTGCATCCTCCAACAAAGGCGGGGAAGACGTGTTCACCCTTTCAGAAAGCAAGAATGCACCACCATGTTTAGCCAGAGTGATGACAACCAAATCCTCTCCTCTGTCTCACCCTTCAACTGGGGATGTCCCGGGACATTCTGGGGTCGCCTGTGATCAAGCGCTCTGAGTGCACAGAAGCCCTTCAGTGAAGAGCTGCTCCTTGTAGGAGAGGATCCAGGCAGCAAGTTCCCAGAGCTGCCTGCTGAGCCTACAGACTCTAAGAGAAGGCACACGGAAAAAGGCTCCAGAAGGACTCAAGTGCAAGGAGGGCCACAACTTCTGAAATCATCTTGGCATGGGTCAAGTTTGTACTTTGTGGAATACATCCAAGTGGTAGAGTCAACACTGAATACAGAGAGCAAACTAAATAAATACAATAAAACAAGTAATTCCAATATTTCAGAATGTGACTATAAAAACTCTACTGGGACCCAGGACAATGGTTCAATGGCTAAATCCTCAACTTGTAAGTGCCAGGCTCCCATATGGGCACCAGTTTGTGTCCGGATGCACCACTTGCCATCTAGCACCCTGCTTATAGCTTGAGAAAGCGGTAGAAGATGGCACAGAGCCATGGGACCTCTGTGGGAGGCCCAGGGTAAGCTCCTAGCTTAGGATCACTTCTGCTCTGGCTGTTGTGGCCGTTTGGGGGATGGAAAATCTGTCTACCTCTCCTTCTTTCCATAAATCTAATCTGCCTTTCCAATTGAAATAAGTCAATAAGTTTTTTTTTATTTGTTAAAGGCTTTACTAAATAACAATTGGGTAAATAATTTACTGGAACCTTCCTATTTACTAGGCACTGATAGATAATTTCATAGCTTAAGAAATTCCTACAACAGTTCATAGAGAGGGATGTATTAGGTCTAATACATGTTAGCACATAATGAATTTAAGAAGTTACTTTCTTAACACCATGAAACCTAGATTTCTAATTGTGTGAATACTTCAGTGGCTAGATTTTTAATTGTGAATACTTCAGTGGCTATAAACTTTTCCCAAGTTACCAAAAGAGGTACATTTATAGGTCATTTTAAGTCTTTAAAACTGTACTATTTTTGGACAATTGGGCATAATGGATTAGATCCCACAGCCAAGTGGTGTCATTTCAGTAACGTAAATGGTGTTAGTCTTGTTCTGCATATTTCAGGAAATCCTGCTGTGAGAGACGTGTAGCATAACTTACCACATCGGATTCCTAGCAGTCCCCAAGGGGCTGTACGCAATAATGACAATGTCATGCTGTTGACAAAATTTCAGCAGTTTTGGCTGAGTGAAGTATGGATGGCACTCGACCTACAGGGTTCCATTGGAGAGACAGGAAGGGGCACCAAATCAGATTCCAGTAATCAAATGTGTTTTACATCAAGTTTCAAAAAATTCTTTCCTAAAATTTGACTTAATAATAATAATATTCACCTTATATTACATCTTATATCTAGGTCTTTCTCCTTAATAGTGCACTCATGTTTCTACCAAAACAACTCAGAAAGATCTACTGTCCAGTTTTTATATGCATCTTATCATTTATTGAATCATTTCCTGAAGTTTTTGACTCAAAAATGCCAAGATAAACACACACTTAAGCCCATCTGGGCATCCTGAGACTCTTCAACAAAAAATGAATCGCTAAAAACAGAAGCCTGTGAACATTATTAAGACTATGGATGTATCTCTCCACATTGGTTTACACTCAGACTAAATTCATTTGTACCCAAGCTCCCGAATAAGCTTTCTTCTACGAACATGGTAAGCAGCCTCCAAGTGATCAGTTTTGAGAGTTACTTATTTTGAGAACTTCTGTTCATTTCTCCTGTACATTTTGTGGTTGAATGTTAATGCTTTCCCTCATTAATTTTTTCCCTCTAACTTCTGTTTTTAACTCATAAGGATGTAAACTACAATCACTATTGAATTTCTAAGAATTTTACTTATTTTTCTTTGCAATTTCCAAATGTTTATATATTAAGATTTTAAAGTTGTTGTGGGTTGGGGTGGTAGCCTAGTGGCTAAGGTCCTCGCCTTGCGATCACAGGAATCTCATATGGGTGCTAGTTTATGTCTTGGCTGAACCACTTTCCTTCAGCTTCCCTAATTTTGGCAGTGCAGGATGGCCCAAAGCCTTGGGACCCTGCACCCACACGGAGGAAGCTCCTGTCCCTGGTTTGGATTGGCTCAGCTCTGGCTCTTGTGGCTCTTGGGGAAATAACCAGCAGATGGAAGATCATTCTTTCTCTCCTTCTATCCGTAAATCTGACATTCCAATAAAAATTAATAAATCTTAAAAAATACTATCGAAGAATAAAAACTGTATGAAAACAAAAGGTTGTCTTTGTGATTTTCCTGTTTTTCTTTCTAGCCAATGCTTCCTAAAACTAAAGATGTTTTCTAGTATTTACAACTGGTTTTTGCTGTCCTCTTTCTTCCTGACCAAAGGAACATTAATTTTGAGTCTAATTTGAAGCAAAGATCCACATTTTTCCTACATATAGTCATTTTCCTCACGATATTCACCAGAAACCATTTCTTTGCAAGTAGCGTTGGTTACTTTAATTAAGCCTTCATTACATGGGGGCCATTTCTAAGGTGCTGGTTAATTTCCATTTGCTTGTACACAGTCCCCTACACTGGCTTTGCACTAGTTTAAACATTCAATAGGATGTCTGACGTTTTGGAGGTAACATCTTCTCTCTTTGTTTTTGTCTTCAAAAACGCTTTTAGGTGTTTTGGTATGCATTGCATGTTTTAAGACTTCCTCTTTGGCGACACAAATTGAGACCGATCACAGGTTGGTGTGTGCTGGCCTGTGTCAGCGTTGTGCTGGGGTCCCTCCTTCACAGCGGAAGCTGTGAAGTTGTACCTGGTTGCTGACCGGCTTGTACTTGAGTCCTGGCTTGTTCAGGATGAGCTCCAGCTGCCTGCGGTTGAAGTTGGAGACTCCGAGGGATTTCACCAAGCCAGCATCTTTGCAAGCTTCCAAAGCCTGTGGGTGACAACAGGTCAACAAAGAAGCCTCCCAAGCAGCAAGATTACGTGTCTGTGGTGAGTGTTTGGCATGGCGACAAAGCAGCCACTTGGGATACGCCTTTCAAGTCAAGTGCAAAGTCAGTGAGGGTAATGCTTGCACAGCCATCAGGTTCATCAAAAGTAAGACCTTGTGTGTTTCAAAAGCATCCAGTGAAGGAAAAGGGGGCAGGGTGTGTGAGGCAGGATCTGATGACGGAATGAGTTTTGAAAGTTGTGCGTATCATATCTTACCTTCCATTTTTGTAATAGATACTGATTTGGTAATAAAACTCACCTGTTTTTATAAATGTTTCAGTGTGTATGAAACACATATGCTCTCCTATTTGAATGCAGAATACTTTGTCTCATCTTCTCTCTTACCTAAGCGTGTTTATAAATATACAATACAAGCAGATATGTTTATATGCACATAAAACATTAATTCTGACTTTGATTGGCTTCTTAGTAGGTAAAAAAGTATGCCAAATGTCGAGCATTCTAATTCTAGCTTACTGATGTTTTCCTGTATTTCAAGAAAAAATATAGTCACCTATTTATATAGTTCTTGCAAGTGTGAATAATAACTACATATTTACTTATTTGAGAGACACAGAAACAAATTGTGATGGGTGAATTCCCATCACTGGCTTACTCCCTAGCTGCCTTTATAAACCAGGACTAGTGAGAGGCTGGAGGGAAACCCTGCCATGCTGTCCAAGTTTCTTCTTCCAGGGAAGGAACCCAATTACTTGAGCCACTACCATTGGCTGCTAAGATCTCAGTGGTGGGAAACAAAGCAGAAGCTAAAGCTGGCAGCTATATAAAATATACAATATAACAAATAAATATATATAAAATATTTGCTTATTTGTTTTTGTAAACGCAGATTTACAGAGAGAAGGAGAAACAGAAAGATCTCCCATCTGCTGGTTCACTCCTCAGATGCACACAGTGGCCGAAGCTGAGCCAATCCAAAGGCAGGAACCAGCAGCTTCTTCTGGGTCTAGTTGGCTCAGTGGTGTAATCCTCACCTTGCATGTGCTGGGGTCCCATTTGGGTGTCGGTTAATGACCCAGCTGCTCCTCTTCCTGTGTAGCTCCCTGCTTGTGGCCTGGGACAGCAGTAGAGGATGGCCCAGGTCTTTGAGCCCCTGCAGTTGTGTGGGAGACCCTGAGGGGGATGCTGTCTCCCAGCTTCGGGTTAACGCAGCTCTGGTTGTTGCGCACATTTGGGGAGTGAATTAATGGATGGAAGATCTTTCTCTTTGTGACTCTCCTCCTAACTCAGCATTTCATATAAAAATAAATAAATCTTTAAAACATAGACACTCCACTCACCTCCCATGTGGCACATAGATTTGTCTTGTGATATAACCATTTACCATTCTCATCTTTGGGATAGGTTTCATCACCAGGCTGTAAACAAGAACATGTGCAATTCATATAATTTGCATCTGGGAATCAAAATAATGGAATTTGAGTTGCCACCTTTGATGACTGGAAGCATCTTATGATGTTGGCATCCATATCGCACTTTGGGCTACTCTGCTTACAATCCAGCTAATGCAACTGGGAAGGTAGTGGAGGATGGCTAAGTCCTTGGGCTTATAACCCACCATCCCTTAGCAAGACCTGGATGGATTTCTGGCTCCTGGATTTAGCCTGCCCCAGACCTTCGAAGTCTCGTTGCAAATTCACAATTGTACTAACAGTGTGGGCTTCCTACATCAATGATCATTTTGTCATTCAGACTAGGAGATCTGAGAAGTCAGCCAGAAGGAAGAGACAGAGAAAGGACCAGAAATATGGAGATATGGTTTGCATTTTGTTCCAGTTTTAGCTGAATTAGATAATTCTGGAATCCATCATGCCCTTCTTCAATTAAAGTCAGTTTCAGTTTGATTTCTGTCACTTATTAACAGAGCTTTGGCTGATTCAGAAGTATCTGAATAATGCAATCATGTAGCTAAAATGCATAACTATGGAAGAATTGAGGCCAATGAAGCTGTTCCCATTTGTAGCTGAGGAGTGGCAGCTTCTGCCATCAATAACATGACATAAATATCATCTTACTGTGTTCTGTGATTCAGACAATAGGTCTGCTTAGGCTGTAGCTGTAGGGTAGAAAACACTAGGTTAGTTGACCATTTCTGTAGCCTTCAGTTGGAATCTGGGTGAAAGAGAAACATGTTTATTGTTATTGGGCTTGTCAGATGAGAGATCAGATAATGATTTACTAAAATGGGTTCTCTCTGTTTTGTGATGCAATGTAAAAAGGTAAAAGGTGAATTCTGAGCCTTGCCAAGTCAGAAGGATCAGTGTCCTCCTAGGCAGGAGTGCACATGGCTTAGGGCAAAATCAAAGAATGGTGCTGGGCAAGTCCCTGCAAGTCTCAAGAATAACCCTAGAAGGTGCTGAGAAGGCAACACCTCTGGGGTAAAGAGGAACTGTTGCAAGAGCCCCAGGGTCTCTTCTTGCCACTCCCCAAAGGCATGTTATATAGTGCTTGGAGGGTAGGGGTGGGAGTAGAGGAAAGAGGTAAACAGGCATAAGCAATTAGCAAACTTAAATCCACAGTGGAACTTCTTAATGTCATCCAATAAGCACATACTGCCAAGACTGGATGTACCCTGGACAGCTTTCTTGAACTTGAAGTACCTGGCTTACACAACTCCTATGCTTCTACTGTCCTTTGTTGTCCACATACAGATTATGAAACTGCTTCACTTAAATTGTGAAATAAGTACTATGTCTCCTGGAGCTTATGCGGGAATGTGGCAGAAATTACAGCTCATGATGCAGCGGGTTAACAGTGCAAACATTGCACAGTGTACCTGCCTAAGTGGCTACTGCACAATAAATGTACTTTGTGATTTGGTCTTAGGTAAATAACAGGTCTCAAGTTCCCTCTGAAAATAAGGTTACAGGTCATACGTGCCCTGCCTGACTTTTACATACAGCTCAGTGGGATATAAAACATTGTGCAGAATAATTTTTATGACTTTGTGAATGGGGAAAATGTCGTGCCCGGATCTTGGACAACTAAAATGTGTATTACATATTACAGCTAGGTACAACATGCTGGCTGATAAATGATAAGCTATAGTAGTAAAAAAAAACACACTGTAATAAAAACCATACTGAATTTAGAATAAAGAAACTCAGGGTCCAAGCCTGAGTGTGCTAGCATAACCTTTTTGGATATCTGTCAGTCTCTGAATTACATGAACAAAACACTGCCACATTCAGGGGTATTAACCTTTAGCTGTTGGCGCGTGGTTATGAAACCAAAACCCCATAATATAAAAAGCAGGACACAGTGTATTGCTTATTACCCTTCACCCTAGGTATCTTTGCCTGTCCTCTATTAAAAGGAATTCACTGATTTTAGGCATTAAATCAGGCAGTCCTACAAGGTTGGAATCACCAGACTCAAGGTGTCATTTGCTTTTCCAATGGATAAGAACCTCTATGGCCAGTGTTATCTTGGGGTGATTTATAGGGGAATTGCAGGCCTAGGCAAAATGTAGCTGTTACCTCATATAACCCTCAGACCAACTGGAGCCCAACTGGTCATCATAAAGTTCCTAAATAGCCTAGGTTCACTGACCAATCAAAGGAAGATACTGTGCTCTACCGACCAACCAGGAACTTGCACATGAGCTGGTCAGGCACCTCTCAGCCCCAATTTCAATCTACAAGAACCTTTACACCTAATTCCTTTGGAAGCCCAGGAATTAAGCAGTAGCTCTTAGGCTCCTTCCTCTGCTCTCTGCAATAAATGATTAGTTTCTTCTGCCATCCAATGTTGCTGATGGACTTTCTGTGTGTCAGGCAAATGGACCCAGTTTGGTGATTCTACAATGGCTCCAACTAGCTTGCGGCACTGACTAACAACAGTTACCAGAAAGCAGAGATCCAGTTTCTAGGGATCTGCACTCACCTTGAAGGCCATGGGCAGTTCAATGATGTAAAGATCCACATAATCAAGCTTGAGGACCTTGAGTGTCCTCTCCAGGGCTGGCCGTACCATCTCTGGGTCAAGATTTGTAGCCCACAGCTGAAATAATTAAAGGGGAACAGATAAGCAAGGTTCATACTCTTTTTACAGTTATGTAGCCTATTATCCCCTCGTAAAGTACCTGTTCATACCTTATTCACTCATTTCACAAAAATGTTTATGCTGCAGTATTGTCTGAAAATCACATTAGTTGATAGACTCAACATATAGAGTAAAAGTTTATCTGAATATAGTATTAGAAACAACAAGATCTTCTTGACCACAAAGTACATAACTTAGTGAACAAGTCTTTGCCTAGCCCAATCTACTTTCCTGTCTGTCCTTTAGTGACTTTTTCTCACTGTGAATACAAATTATAATTCTTGCTGGTGTTGGACTCCTGTTATCCCAGCGCAAACCTCAGAAGGCAAAGGGTATAGATGCCCTGTCCTACAGATTTACACACTGTAATCAAACAAAACTTACCCCTTTTCACCTTTCTGTAGGAAATGATCAGGGTTTTTTTTTTTTTATAAATACTAAAATTGTGCCAGAAATTCATTCTGTACAAGAGACAACATAGATTTCCCTTTAGATTTGATCCACAAATTCACTCAGCAGGTTGGAAATATAAACCTGCAAGAACATTCTTAGGATTTCTTAGGTGGTTGGAGCCTAAATGGTTAACTCCACATCTTGTAAGACTGACCATAATCACATGACCCTGAGGATGACATGGTGGTATTATATTGCCTAATATTCCTCCCTGGACTCTGAGTTTGACAGTTTCTTGTTAGGGACATCCCCAACTAGTAAGACCACCAGCATACGGCGTTGACTCTGATAAGCCACAAGGGGCTTTATGTCCTTTCAGATCCTGCTTACTGCATAGATGAGCATCTCCACATGTTTGTATGCAGAGCCCCTTTCCAATGAGATACATAAATAAACTGCAACCCTCCTTTCTCCTGTCATGCCATCCTGTGTTCAATGAAAGTCTTTTTCCCTTCCCTGGACGCCTCTTTGCTGCCTTCAAATGTAAATACCATGTGAATAGTTGTTGTAATGTATTGTTTAGGGCATAAAGACATGTGCGTGGACAGTACAGATGCCAACTATTTTCCAAATATTTCTGAACCATGGTGGATTGGCTCTATGGAGGTAGATTCCATAGACATGAAAGAGTGCCATACTCAGGATACAATTGCACATATATACACACACAGAGAGAGATATTTAGAAAGATGAATAATAAAACAAACACAGAGGTCAGGAAATTGAATCTTAGCTTATTTAACAAGCTTGCTATGGGTCACCCCCTTACTACTACCCTGAAGTTTTCCTGCTGGCTTCAGGGTTTTTTTTAATGATCTGTACATGTTTCTACATATAGCTAAACAACACACTGTTTACTTCTGCCTATTACTGATCTCCATATAAAGGGACTCCTGCTCTTCCTCTCATGGATGTGTGGCTCATCCTCGTGGCTTCTTTGGCTACAGCAGACATTGCTGCTTGTGCACTCTGTTTTCACTCATTGTACACATTTCCAGATTGCATTGCTGATGGGCCTTCCATTGTTTCTAGTTCTCAGACATCATGAACAGCAGGACCGTGGGCACTGTTGCAATAGGAGATAGCTCTACAAAAAATAAGTGCTCTGCAGTGCAAGTGTAAAGGTATAATTTGGAAATTATTAGGCAATAAGCTGTGCCTGAGGGGCATTCTTCTCTATCTGGGCCTCCAGACTCCCACATCCCAAACCAAGGTGCCTGGTTTTAGTCCATGTGGGAAATTTAGATGGAGTCGCTGACTCCTGACTTCACTTTGGACCAGCCCAGGTTGTTATGGGCATTTGGGGAGTGTACCAGTTGAGGGCAGATCTGTCTCTGTTTCTTTCTCTTTTTGCTTGTTTACTCACTCTGCCTTTTAAATATACATAAGATGTGCATACTTTCAAAATCACATGCGTAAACTCTGAACACATTATACTAAGAAATACATTAAAGAAGCTAGATACAAATGAATAATTATTGAAGATCCTATATGTATGAAATGTCCACATGAGAGACTGTAGAGTAAGAGCCAAGGTTGTCAGTGACAAGGAAAGAGAAATAAAGGGGCAATAACTGCTCATGGAGGGTGTTTTTGGAATAACGCAAATGTTAGCTAAAAGTGACACATGCACAAGTTTGTGAATGAGTTTAAAACTCCTGATGAAAATAGTGGACTTCGTGGTAGGTGAATTAGACCTCAATTTAAAAATGCTGATCTATGGACAAGTAGATGCATACAAAATTAAAAGAAGGCGGAAAGGGTTTGTGGGATATGAGCAACCTATACTCTTCCCAGCACTGTCCAACTCTTCTGCTTGGCAGATTTGGTTTTCTCTTTTTATACATTAAGTTCCCTTAAGTCAATATCCAGAGGTGAAGAGGCAGCTATGTCCTCCCACCCAGGCCTAAGAGGGAGAGGGATACAGCACTGCAGGCCAGGGAGCATGTTATCCTCTCAGCGAATTCAAGTTTATTTACCAGACGAAGGTGGCACAGGACCCACCATCCACACGAGGAGACAGGGAAGGCAAGAGCTCACCTTGCCACAGTAGAACACGTCCTCCCGCCGCACTTTTCCTTCAGCAATCTTCTCCCTGAGGGCTTCGCCCACTTCGTGCTCATTTTTGTAGAGGTAGGCCCCGTCAATGTGTCGGTACCCTGCGTCAATGGCAATCTTCACTGATGTTGCACAGAGTCCCTTGTGGGTCTGAAATGACAAGGAGGGTGGGATTGAAGGTTGGGGAGAAGAATGAGTTCTTCCTGCAGTTTAGTCACCATTAATCAGACATTTCTGTATCTATTTCCGGAAAGTTCCCAATTCTTCACTGTGATGACTGGAAGATGGTATCTGGGGACAGGAGCAAATGACTTCTCAGTGGCCTCTCTCTCAGCAGGAGCCTCCTTCATCCCAGAACTGCCTTCAGCACTGCAGCTTCAGAAACTTGTTTCAGTTTTGCCAGTGACAGGAGGGGTACATGAAGGTTTTGCTATGGTAGGGACCAAGTCCTTCAGAGAAAACCAAATTATAAAAATTCAGATGAAGGCCTAGTGTAATGGCTCAACTGGCTAGTCCTCCACCTCAAAGCACAACATCCCATATGGGCACTGGTTTGGATCCCGGCTGCTCCACTTCTGATACAGCTGCCTCCTGTGGCCAGGGAAAGCAGGGAGGATGGCCTAAATTCCACCCCCATGGGAGCTCCTAGCTCCTGTCTTTAGCTTGGCTCAGCTCCAGACACAGTGGCCATTTGGGGACTGAACCAGTGAATGGAAGATCTTTCTCTCTGTTGCTCCTCTCTGAAAATTCTGCCTTTTCAATAAAAATAAACCTTTTTAAAAAAGGTTTAGAAGATCAAAACAGAAAGGAGCATGAATCAGTAAGAAAAGAGAATAAACTCATGGCATTGTAGGTATAGGCAATGATAGGAAATCTAATATCAAATTGTCAAGGTCTATTTAAGTTTCATTAGCAGTCCTCCTTTTATTTCGGAATATAGGTACATATTGCAATGTATCTTCACTTTCAGGCATGCAAGTCTCCATTAAATAGTTCATCTATGAGAATGTATGTATGTACATGTGGAACAATTATACTATTATAATAATACAGGGGATGTGTGAGGGGATTAGGAGGAGAGATTGAGGGGAGAATCCATATACCTACAAAACTGCATCATACAAAATAATAACAATAAAAAAGAGAATGAACTATTGATATACTCACCATGAATCAATCTCTAAAACCTAATCCATATGATAATAATAAAAGGTGATAATAATAATAGAGAAACTAAAATAATTTTTAATTTAATTTTTAAAATCTTCGCAAATTCTTTATACTGGAAATAGAGATTACCCCTCTATTATGGTTTGAATGTTTCTGCCCCTTCTGACCTCATATTAGAACTTGATTCTCAGTTCAGCAATTGGGCAGGGGGGTCTGAAGGTACATCAGAGCCTGCATGAGTGAGAGATGCTGCTGTGAGCAGGGCCTGCAGGGGTGGCTTCAGACCCCTTCTGCTCCTCTGCTGCATGAGGAACACTGCCCTCCCTCCAAAAAGACAGCATTAAAGGTGCCATCTTGGAAGCCAAGAGACCTGGGACCCTACACCACTGGCAAGTTTTAATACTGGACTTTCCAGATTCGAGAGCCATAAGAGAAGAAACTCCTGTTACTTATAAGTTACCCAGTTTCAGGTATAGCTGCCCTTGATATCTGCAAGGAATTCAATCAAGAACTGTCTGCCAATGCAAATTTGGGGGTGGCTCAAGTGTATGATACCAAACAGCATCATTTTTGCCAATAATGTATTATATCTTGGACACTTAAATTATGTCTAGATTACTTTGATTTCTGAGACAATGAATGAAAATGCTGTTTAAGTGATTATTCTACTAATTGGGGGATAATGCCAAGAATTAGATAAGTAGGTCCTGGCACAATAGCCTAGTGGCTAAAACTTAATTTTGCATGCACCGGGATTATATATGGGCACTGCTTCATGTGCCAGGTACTCCATTTCCCATCTGACCCCCTACTTATGGCCTGGGGAAGCAGTTGAGGATAGCCCGAGGCCTTGGGACTCTGCATCCACGTGGGAGACCCAGAAGAAGCTCCTGGATCCTGCCTTTGGATAGGCTTAGCTCCAGCAATTGCGGCTACTTGGGGAGTGTTCTGCAGACAAAAGATCTTTCTCTCTGTATCTCCTCTTCTCTGTGTATCTGCCTTTCCAATACAAATCAAATAAATCCCTTTTTAAAAAGGAGTTAAGTATATAGTTACATATTTAACTTTTTAAAACTTTATTATCATTATTTTTAAAGATTTATTTATTTTTATTGGAAAGTCAGATATACAGAGAGGAGGAAAGAGAGGAAGATTTTCCATCCACTGATTCACTCTCCAAGTGGCTGCAAAGGCTGGAGCTGAGCTGGTCTGAAGCCAGGAACCAGGAGCTTCCTCCAGGTCTCCCACATGGGTGCAGGGTACCAAGGCCTTGGGTTGTCCTCGACTGCTCTCCCAGGCCACAAGCACTGAGCTGGATGGATAGCAGGGCTGCCGGGATTAGAATCAGCGCCCATATGGGATCCTGGTGTGCACAAGGCGAGGACTTTAGCGTTACCATGTGGGTAACCTGGAAGAAGCTAAACCCTAGCTTGTATCCGGCCTGCCCTGGTTGTTGTAGCATTTTGGGATTGAATTAGCAGAAGAGAGGAAGATATCTTTCTCTGCATAACTCTTTCTTTCAAATAAATAAATCTTAAAAAAAAACCACTGCATATATGAAGTACACATATATAAGTTTAAAAATTAAGAAAAAATCTTAGGCACAAGGATTGTGCGTACCTGGGTCTGAACTATCATTCTCTCCATCCTTAGCCTGGATCTAATTGATTATCAGCCTTTGTACAATCTAACACAGTGACTTGTAGATTGGACCAAGTCTACAGACAAATCATTTTTATCACAGCTATCAATCTAGTTCCAGTGCTAATTTTTTTTCATTTAATACAGAAACTCTCACTTGATATTCTGTGCTACTTCTGTTCTTGGTATATATTAAATCTGGCAGATTAATCATTTTGCAACAAGTATTTAAAATTTCCTTCTTGATATTTTTTTGGTTACTGTCACCCTCAGCACCAAACCACCCTTGCAGTTGGATGTACAGCATCTACTGCCTCGGAGGAGACCTGCTCTGACTCCCATGGGATTTGATTCCAAAAGCCAAGGCTTCCATGGCAAAGTGTAAAAGTGAAGGAGTCAGAGGTAACGGAAAAAAAATTAGGACACATGCTGTTCTAAACATAACGACACCCCAACACCAACTGAATTTTTTCCTTTGATCTTTGGCCTTTAAAATTATAGGCCATCCAAACTTTCACAAAATTTGACCCTACAGATACCACTGATTAAAAGTTAATAATTGTAGCATTCCCTGAAAAAGTGTTAGCAAATCAGGGAACAAGTGGGGCAGTTTATACCTGACAATGGACTATACCAAAGAGTTGGGTGTTTTCTTTAGAATGGAATGCACAATCTCTGGGACCCTATGTACTGTGTCCTCAACAAGTCTATTGAAGGTGTGGCTATATGGATCTTGCAGTAAATAAAAACAAGGGCCAGTTCCTGGGTATAGCATTTTGCATATACTGCTACCACCTACAACACTGGTTCCAGTCTTGATTCCTCTACTTCCAATCCAGATCCTTGCTAATGGGAGCTAGCTTCCAAATTTGGGAAAAGCAACAGCAGACGACCCAATGACTTGGGGTCCTGCCACGCATGTAAAGACACAGATGAAGCTCCTGAGTTCTTCCTGGCCAAGTTCTGGCTGTTGCAGTTAAGTGGAGAGTGATCCAGCAGATGAAAGATTCTGTGTGTGTATGTGTGTGTGTACTGCATGTGTGTATGTGTGTGTGTATGTATATATTAGCATACACATTTATACACAAAAATGTGTGTACACATATATATGTAATCTAAATTTCAGAATAAAAATATTTAAGAAAATTAAAAAGAGAAAGAAAGTATGTCTTGCCTTCTTGCCTACTCTGAAATTGGGAAAGTAGAAGAAAACCCAAATAGAACACTTATTTATGCTCCCTTTCTGATCCCTGGTACCCTCCAGGGAGAGCTTTTCAAACACCTTTACCTTGTTGCCAGTTTAAGTATAGGGCTGACAAAGATGCCTGGTGTGAGAGCAAGGTTTTGACTTTCTCAGAGGAAATTAAGTCCCTTGGGTTGAAAGGAGGAGGAAGAGAGAGTGGAAGGGCAGTGGGGCGAGGAAAGGATGGAAGGTTTAAGCAGGGGTAAGGAACATGTGGCCTGAAGACTGGATTAGGCCTGCAAAATCATCTAATATAGCCCTGCCAAGCAAGTGCAAGCAGGACTTCAAATTCAATTAATGCATAGCAGGTACTTTTTAAAGTTAATTCTGTATGTCCTGCGACTGATGTTGTAAATAAATATCCAAATGGTTCTTGGCAGAACAAAAGTTTCCCAGCCCTGCTTTGAAGGCCAGCACATCCTGAAAGCAGAGCCTGAGCCTTGTGCCTCCATGTCCCTCAGCTCAGGAGCAAAAGGCCCTGAGGGTGTCAGGCTCCTCCTGGCTGTCCCTGCTGTGCTTGGCCTCCACTTCTCCACATGCACCCACTCTCACTCTGCCTCCAGAGGCGAACGGGACACATGGCACACAAATCTTAACAGGGCCACTTAAGAAGGAGTGTTACACCCCAGTACAGACCACTGCTTCTCAGAGTTTGATGCCTCTTCATGTGCCCCATACCCGGATTTGTTCACTGTTTCATAACTGACCAACAATTCTTTGAAACCCTACAGCTCCTCCTTATATTTCACTAATAGGTAAACTGGTTTGTTTTGCCTCCACTCCTTCTACTTAGATTTCAAATCCTTAACAATTTGCTCATTTGTTTGGTCTCCACGCTCTCTTGAAGAATGCCTTGGAGATAATAGGTACACAATAAATACGGACGGAACTGAACTGCTGTCAGTAGTTGATCTTGGAATTATACCATCTGTATCCTTGGCAATATTCCCAACTTACACTTGAAGTTTTCTGACAACTATTGATCAGAATGGGGCCATAAATTGAAGTTTATAGAAACTCCATTCTTATCAAAGTACACAATAAGAAAGGGGCTCACACATCTGAACATGTAATTATTGCGAGACAACGGGCAGATCTGTTTGGGAACTCTGATAGGCTCTGACATCCCTGTATGGTACCTTTCTGGGGGAGCTGTCATAGAACAAATTTGTCTAATTTGGGTTACAGACATTAGTAGAATTAGATTAAAAAGAGTGTTTTCTATTTAGCAGAAACGCTAACTGCATAAAAATTTCCTTCAGTTCAGGTATATCCAGAGGAAAAGAACTTGTTATAAGACAAGAGAAGCTGAGCTGCCCTGCTCCTGTAGTACCACACAATGATCTTGCAAACTGCTTCTGATTCTACTCCATGTGCTCCAGTACAGATGATAGGGCAGATCATGAAAGCCATGCTGATCTTCCTAAGGGGTCTCTTCCCCTCTGATCACATCCCTGTATCCCCCTGAACATCTGCCTGTGTCTTGCTCAGGCACTCTTATTTAAACTGAGCGGGATTCCAGGAAAAACACTGGCAGATTTTACGCTGCATAGAGAATATGAAGAATCCTGGTTAAACATCTGTTGAACCTGAAATTCACCATCTGTCTCTTACAAATGAATGGATTTGAAAAGATTCTTAGACAGATCAAGAGGAGAACACTAACATTTGGCATCTAAGCACTGTTCTAGTCTAAGATTGACTCCAAAATTAAATCTAATTTATGAGGCTGGTACAGCAGCACAGCAAGTTAAACTCTCCATATTGTGGCACTGGCATCCAATCTGTGTGCCACTTTGTATATCTGCTGTTCCACATCCAATCCTGCTCTCTGCTTGTGGTTTGGAAAAGCGGCAGAGGACGGCCCAAGTTCTTGGGACTCTGCACCCTCATGGGAGGCCTGAAAGAATCTCCTGACTCCTGGTTTTCCAGATCAGTTCTGGCTTTTTGGGCCATTTGAGGAGTAAACCAGCAGATGGAAGACACTTCTGTCTCTCTCTTTTTCCTTCTCTCTACAAAGCTGCTTTTCACATAAAATTTCAAAAATCTTCTAAAAGTCAAATCTAATTCAATGATTTCAGGGGTGACCAAACTGGGCACAGAAGGCCAACCTTCTGTCTATCTGCCCTGGGGTGCTGACTCAGGAGCTGGTCGACTGTATGACTTGGAACAGAAAAATGTGAGTTTATTCTGAGACATTCTGTTCTCACCACTGCTCAGCTCCCCCTGTAACCACAGCTCTACAGCTTTTACTACCTCAGATCGTCCAGATGAATGCGCTATGTTCTTCACATCAGATCCTCTGATTCTATGAAACATATTAGCTAATCTAATGTATTATCTTACACTTGATAATAATGCTGATAACAAATGTGGTTGGTTCATGCATAATCTCTGTCTCCAATAGAGTTCTGTTATGCCACATTCTCTAAGTAGTATTTGCTTTCTCTTCTGAAATCAGCTATAGGAAGAGCATGAGGATCTAATATTACTAGGCAGATAGTGAGTATTTAATACTTTATTCTCTACCTTGAACCCAAGAATTTAAGAATATATAGACACAAATGTGCAGTATAATATATATATATACCTGTATTAATTAATTATATATACATACATTCTTGGATCCTATAACATACAGCAACACACACACAAAGTCACAGTTAGAAACTGATGGGATATGTGTGTGTGTGTGTGTATGAATGGTACATTCACAGCAGAGGATGTGGACTCAAGTTACGTGAATTTGAATCCCAAATCTGTCCCTAAGCAATATAACCTTAGAAACTGAAATTTTTTACGTCTCAGTTTCTCTATTTACCAATGGGTCTAACTAGCATGTATTTTATTATGCCAGGAGGGTTAAAGTAGAATATTAATGTAACATTAAAATAAGCCACCATTTACAGAATGCTGTTATTCTTTATGGGCACTGGTTTATGTCTCAACAGCTCTACTTCTGATTCAGCTCTCCACTAACGCCCTGGGAAAGAAGGGAAAGATGGCCGAAAATTTGGGGCCCTGCTACCTCTTGGACGATTCTGAAGCAACTGCTGGCTCCTGACTTCTGTCTGGCTCAACCCTGCCTGGCGTCAGCCAAGTGAGAACTAACCAGCGGAAGGAAGATCTTTCTATTACTCTCCTTGTCTTTCTCTCTCTGCAATTCTTTCAAATAGATAGATAATCTTATAAAAATATACATACTTGAAAGATTTCCTGGCACAGAGGTAAACAGTTCATAAATCCGAGCATTTATATTGTGTCTGTTTATGGCTTCACACATTGCAATGTGCACACATATGTACCTGTCTAACAAACTCATTCATTAGTCTGACACGTATTGGTTGAACAGCTACTATTTACTATACTTAAAGCTGAGAAAAACATGGTCCCTTTCCTAATGGATTTTACACACATACAGAGAATCATGATATGGAAGCATACATACAGAGAATCATGATTTTAATTCACTGTGATAGGCACTGTATAGAATCTAGCCCTGGATTCATTGTGAACATGTTGGGCAGGCAGGGTATCAGAGTTGGGTTTCTAAGAAAATCTGTTCCTTAAACTGAGTCTTGAAGAGCTAGTGGATGTTAGAACATGAGCTTATGAGGAAGAAAAAGGGTGTTTTAGATTGAAAGCAGAAAACTCATAGAAAGTGGAGTCAGTTGAGGATTTAGCAGATGCTTTTACATATAGGAAAGGGCAGGAAAGTGGTGGTAAATGCAGCTGGACTGGCAGGCTTTATCTGCTTAATTAACTGAGAGGAAACTAGTGAGTATGGTCATAACACAATTTACTTCAGATTTGAGAACAAATTGATAGCCTCTTCCTGGATAATTAAGTGTGAAGAAACAAAACTATAAGAATAGGCCAAGATAGGAACGTACACTAGGTAGTGGCAATGGATATACATAGGAGGGTATGAACTGCAAAAGTATTTGAGAGAAACTCAACATGGATTTAGCGATCACATAGACATCATGTGAAAATGGGAGAGATGAGGAATAGAGAAGGATAAAGGCATAATCCCATTTTTGGTTTCTGTAGTAACTTGTAGCAGTGTTAGCTATTAAGGTAACTGCGAAGGTGCAATGATCAGCATACTTCTTCTATTCTAGAATTAATCTTGTCTGAGAAAGGTAGAGTGCAAATTGTGTGTACATAAGATGTACCTGAACAACTTTATTTACTTCTATTAATCAATTGACTAATTGTATTTGAAAGGTGGAGAGAGAAATAAAGAGGTATTTCCTATCTGTTGGTTTACTCCACATATGCCTGAAGCAGCTGAAGCAGGACCAGACAAAATCCAGACGTCAAAAATCAATCTAAGTCTTCCATCACGGTGACAGGTACCCAACTCCTTGAGCCATCATCCACTAACTTATGATGTACATGACCAGGAAGCTAGAACCTAGAGACAGGAGTTGAACCTAGGTACTCCAATAGGGATAAGGGAATGCCAAACAATTTCTTAGTTGCTACACCAAATGTCTGCTCCCCACATCTGCTTGCTCTACAAGGAACATGTTAAATTACAGATTTTTAACCTGTAACCTACAGGTCCAGATTTACTGGCTTGGAGGAGAGGACCAAGACAATGTATGTTCAATAAGTCCCAGGAGGTTCTGATGTGGCTATATGGGGGAGCCATAACGAGCATAACAGGAAATAGATGTTTAGGAGCCGGCACACATGCAGTAGGAGTCAAGATATGAATAGATCCTACAGAGACAGCAGGCAGACAAAGAAGAGGAAATAGTCAAAGTACAGACTCGTAATTGTTTTGAGAGTGATTTTCTTTGCAATACCAAAAAATAAGGGAAGTGGGTAATCAACATGGAACGTATCTTTTTGACTGTGATTCCATTCTCCTCTGATTTTTATTTCCCATGGGGTCCCAATAATCACTTTTCCAAAACATAGATCCAATGATGGTATTTCTCTGATCCTCAACTTTAAAAAAATGTCCATTTCTTAGAGAGAGAGAGAGAGATCCTCTCTAATGGCTAACTGTCCACAACAGCCAAGAGAAGGTCAGGACTGGAACTCAACCTAAGTCTTTCACATGGGTGGCAGGAATCAAATTAGGTGAGCCAGCCTGGCTATGTCCCAGCACCTGCCTTAGGAGGACAGTGGAGATAAGACCAGATTGGATATCAAACCAAGGTATCTGGACATGGGACACAGGCATCTCAGCTACCTTCACTGGTAGGCCAAATGCCTGCCCCCGGGGGCAACTTCGGCATTCTGTAGAACAACATTCTAACTCCTATGCAGGGGGTTCACAGTCCTTCAAAATCTCAACTTAACTCATGCTTTTAGATCCAACTCTCACCAACCCCAACTAAATCTGCATGCCAAGCACTACATGGCCTTCTATGTACATTTTTGTTGTCTCTGTACTTATCTTTCTTTCTAGCATGTCCTGCCTCCACTCTGTTTCTCTGCCTTCTCAAATCATACTCAGCTTTATAGAGCTCATTCATACATGCTGGCTGAAATTTCAGGAGCATCTCAATACACATCACTGCTGATTCTGGGCATTACACCTTCCCGAGGGGTTACACTGAGGAAAGACATCGTGGTGAGCACAAAGAACCATAAACACAAATGCCGTATGCTTTAAGTCATCTAGTTACTAGCATTCAGCTGAATTTCAGTGGAGGAAGGAAAAAGATTCCATTGCCTCACTTATCCAAACTAGTTTTTAACTCTGAATTGATTTAGTTTAACTTTAGGCTCAATGCTCATTCATTCACACACAGTAATCTTTGGAGGTTGCTTCCACTATTACAGAGTTTATTTAAAAATCCATGTAAAATGGATTACAGATTACAGATTCTAGACACATTCTAACCACACACACAGAACACAGAGAGTGAGAGAAGCTTACCGCCTGAGGTTCTGAGAAGGTGCCAAGCCCAATGATGGGAATGCTGTTTCCATCACTGAGAGGGAGGCGGTGATCTGCTGCACTGAGGTGCATCTTGAAGGCAGAGCGCGAACGTTCCACTCTCTAGGATGGATCTGAACAGCAGACGGAGAGCAGTCCTAGGAGGGTGTCCTAGGGCATATTTAACAGAAGAGGAGGGGAAGAGGGAGGAGCAGAAGGAGGAAGGAGAGATTTGACAGATCTGTTTCTCAACTTGTGTTTTTCCAGGTTGTCTAGGAAATCCGGAGTATGGTTATCCCTTGAATTTAATCAGAATATGTAAATAACATAATACCTTGAGAGCTTATATATACTTCTCTACAAAGAGAAGATTTAAAAAAAAAACAGTAAACAAATCTATCTTGTTTCGACCAGTTAAGACGCTGATGTGGACAGGTGAAGGACCAATGTTAAATTATTTTTAACTACAAAGAATGTTTATGGGTTTATAATTCTTGGAAAATCAAGCATTAGGGCTAAATTCAGGGAGAAAAGAACAGTTTCCCAGAATTTTCCCGGAAATCTAAAAGCAGCAAAACACAGAAAATTTCAAATTCGTATCTCCAGTTAAGTTTTGGGAGCCACTGGAGGAACAGACATGGCCAGGACCAGCTTCCCAATCTCTAGGCTGCTCTCAGTACTCTCCCCTGACCCACTGAAAGGTATTTACTACCTGTCTGGACTAATATCATGTCAGGATCAAACCTAAGGAGGACGCTTCAGTTACTGCTTAACTTACACCGTAATTCAGAAATTCAGTCTTGTCCTCAGTTGTCTTTCTTGGTTCATGGGTCTATCACCAGGTCATAGCAGTGAAAGAAATTAGAGTGATGACTTTGATATATAATTAGATGCCATTTCTAAATTTGGGATGAGGATCAGCTGTAAAAGAGGTAAGCATTGGGGAAACAATGAACAGATATTTATTAGAGTTTTTCAAAAAGACTGTGCTGTATGTAAAATGAGAGCTTTGATCCTGATGGCTTTAAAACTGGCCAAAGATCATGATTCTGCTAATATTTACATGATTAGGCAGTAGACACAATAAGAAAACCAGGTTGGGGCAGTCTGCAGCACAGGCAGCAGAGGTGTCAACATCATTTGTAAATGGATACAAGAGTGCTTACTGCGTACTTTTGTGTGTATAAATGCTGACTAAGACATACTTCTGCTTTTACTATTATTGACTTCTTGCTGATTATCCCTATGAATTTTAGTACTTATGTAGATTTATATAACCTCTACCACACTGCAAGTATTAGAAAGTTCCATGACCCTGTGAAAACTATCAGATTGATTACAGTCATACACTCTATTCACACAAGCCCCCCCGGCCCCGAAAATCACTACCTATTCTCCATAACTTTAATTGTATCTTCCAAAATGATGTTTACTTTCATTTAGCTTCCTGTATCAGCATGCCAGCCCCTGGTGTGTCTTTTGACATGATTATATCAATAGAATAGCAGGAGCTAGCACAGGCTAATCCTCTGTTTGCAGCACTCGCACCCCCCATGGAAGCTGCTCTGCTTCCAATCCAGCTCTCTGGTTATGACCTGGGAAAGCAGCAGAGGATGCATCAAGTCCTCGGGTCCTGGCACTTATGTGGGAGACCCAAAAGGAGCTCCTGGCTCCTGGCTCTGGATTGGTTCAGCTCCATTTGAGGAATGAACCAGTGATGGAAGACCTCTTTCTCTGCCTTTCCTGTTCTCTCTGTAAAAATCTGCTTTTCAATTAAAATTTAAAATCATAAACATGTAATCTTTTGAGAATGGTCTTTCCCTCAGCATGCCACTGTGATTCATCCCTGCTGTTGTGTGTAAAATCAGTCTATTCTTTGGTTTCTGAGTAGTATGCCATAATATATATTTGTATAAGGATCATTTCTCTGTTCTGGCATGGAAAGTATTTGATTTGTTTCAAGTTTGGGTTGCCTATGAATAGAACTCTTTGTAAATATTTTTGTGCAGGAATATACAAACAGTAAGTGTTCATTCTTGTAGGTAAATCTCCAGGAGAGTCTCTGGTCATGCAGAAAGTCTGGACTTAATTGGTAAGAAACTGCCAACACTATTTATCAGGAATATTCCATTTTTTAAAAAAAATATATTTATTTTTATTGGAAAGGCAGATTTTCAAAGGAAGCGAGATATATAGAGAAAGAGCTTCCATCTGCTGGTTTCGTCCACAAATTGCCATAAATGCCAGAGCTGAGCTGATACAAAGCCAGGAACCAGGACCAGGAGCAAGGAGCATCTTACGGGTATCCCATGTGGGTGTATGGTCCCAAGAAAGTTGGGCCATCCTCTACTGCTTTCCTAGGCAGGGAAGGCTGGAAGGAAAGTGGAACAGCCAGGACGCAAACTGGTGCTCATATGGGATCCTGCACATGCAAAGCAAGGATTTAGCTACTGAGCCAGGGTGCTGGGCCTAGTACTATCCCATTTTGAAACAACATTAGCAATATCTGTAAGTTGCAGTTGTTTCACAATTTTGGCAGCACTTACCATTATCAGTTCTTTTTAAATTTTAGGTAAGTCAAAACTTTTAATCCGTACCTAAAGTAATACTTACTTAAAGTAATACTTACTTTAGCACATCTTGCCATTTGGGGTTTCCCATGCGACGAACGATGACTGAAACACTTCTTACCTTTGTGACCTTTTGGGGAAAAGCCTTTTCAGATATTTCACTTGTTTTTAAAACAGAACTGTTGTCTTACTAGTGTTGAGTTTGAGATTTCTTGCTAAATTCTTGATACATATCTTTTCCTGAATATATGGTTTGAAAAAATCATTAACTTTTCTGTCCGTAGCTTGTCTTTCCAATTTCTTAACAGTTTGATACATAAAATAAAATATTTCAATTTTTATAACTCAATTTGTCAATTTGTACTGTGCTTCAAATAGTGTATCAAATAATTTTTTTTGTTCTTTTTCTAAAGCTTTACATTTTATGCATTCCACTCAGAGCTGTCACACTTCTGTGCAGTTTTGTACAATGTAAAATATCTGTGACTCCTGTTTTACACAAGGGTGTCCTACTGTTGGAATTACACTTTCTGAAAGAACTGCCTTCTCTACAGAATTTCTTTTGCATTGTTGTTATTAATCAAAGTCTCTATTTCTAAGTCTATTTGTGGATTTTGTCTCATCAATTCATGTATTTCTTCCTTCATGGATAATACAGAGTCTTGATTATTATAGCTTAGTTAGAAAAGCCTTAAACTAATATAATGTAAATCCTCCAAAAGTAATTCAGTTAACTTTGTTCCTTTACTTTCTATATAAGTTTTAGAATCAGCATATCTGTGTTTTCAAAAACGCTGCTAGAATTTTTCTATGTATTAAAACATTTTTTCCTGGATGCTTTACTCTTCTGTGGTTGCCATGATGAAGTGTCATGGACTGGATGATTTTAAAAGGAACCACTTATTTCTCATCATTCTTGAGGCTGGAGTCCAAGATCAAGGTGCCAGGCAACTCACATCTTATAGAGGGCTTCCTTCCTTTCTATTAGATGGTCATGTCCTCAAATGCTGTGTCCTCACATGATAGAGAAGAGAGAACTCTCCAGCTCACCTCTTGGAAGGAGACTGGGCTGGAACTGGAGTCCCACTCTGATGACTCCAGCTAAACCTAATTACCTTCCCCAAATCTATGCTACAAACACACAAGTCTCCCCTTACTTGCAGGCAGCATATTCCAGACCCACCGGTCTGCTTAAAATTGCAGGTAACACCAATGTGTATATAGTGTGTTTCTTTCTCTATACGTGTACACCTAGGATAAACTACTATCTTTTCACTTAGGGAAAAATTTTATAAGTTCCTTCAGCTGGCATCACTGTTCGCATGCTTGAGGCTACTTGGTAAATTAAGAGTCACTTGGATCAACCATTGGTCCCTGTGACAACTGATCTGGTAACTGACGTGGCTAAAATGACTAGTTGCTAGGTAATATACACAACGTGGTTACACTGGACAAGGAAATATTCATGACTATGGCAAAATAGAATAGAATGGTAGATTTAATTGCTAACTCAGAATTATATACCATGCAAAACATATGAAGTCTTTATTTCTGGAATTTTCCATGCAATATTTTTGGATTATAGTGCTATAGGTAACAAACCAAGAAAACAAAACTGCAAATAAGGGAAGAATACTATACCAGCTGAATGGATAGCATGGCTTTAATGATGGAATTAAGTTCACAGCACTGAGAATACCATGGAGGCCAGAATTAGCACTTTGACTTTATAAAAGTCAAGTATGATAAAAAATTAAAATAAATCAAGTATGAATTATATTAAACTGGTTTCAACAATACATAAAACTCTGATCCTTTAAAACTCTACTAACCCATCCCTTATACAATTATTGTTGAATTGCATCTTCATACATTTTGAAGCAATTAACTCCCTAAAACAAGTTAAAACAATCAAGGGAGCTTTTTTGACCAAGAAGGAAAGGAGAATTTGGGGGTCCAAGGTACTAAAGCTAAGGATAGTAATAACTGAATGAGAAACAATAATGGCAAAAAAACATTTTCAGGACACTTATTACACTGATTGTTTAAAATGGATAAGAATTTTTAAGTCTAAAATCACAAACAAAATATTTCAATAGACAGTGAGACATTTTAGTCTGAGAAATATATAGATTCTTGTTCCCCATAGGATTATTTTTCCCTATCTTCTCTTATACCTTTCTTGCTAGCATTCTTTTATCTCCCCTTGTGACTCATGATTCATGGGTTTATACCCAAAAACATAAAACAGTGAAAAGAGTGGAGGCAGCATTTTAAGGCAGGAAGAGGTGTGGAAAACCTGAACCAGGATAGAGATCCGATTTCAGCTTTCATCCCCGACCTCCCGTTGTGAACAGGATATGTTGGGTGTAAATACTGACCACTTGTACGTGGCATACAAAATTAATCCATATGTGTTAAAATGAACAAAGGGCTTCATTTGCTCTTTAGGGGATTATGTAGCAACTAGGGAGGAGATACACATTCCTTGACCTTTTCAGGCTTCTGTCCCAGTGCGATGTACCAATTTACAAAAGCTGCCTGCTTTTGATGTATTGTGCTCTCAGTCCAACCACGATTACC